AAGAAAGTAGTAGTACCAATAATATGCGAAGTTGTAAATACATGATTGTGTAGTTTCACAGTGTGCTGATCATGACCTTAAACTTATAATCTTGCCTCCCGGGCATGCCTTTGTCTTGTGTTCTTTTTCTTTTTTTGTTGGCTTTTAAATATCGTACGGTGTGTGTCCTAGTAAAAATCCAGATGTAATGAATTCATGACATGCTAACTCCATGCTATGTACCTGTTTTGTTGGATTCATCAGGCATGTGCTCCAATGTACCATCAAAGAGTGTTGTTCTATGCCTGCAAGTGCCGTTAGACCCAGAAATATTGTATATATCAACATGCTTTACTGGTCAAAATGTCTGATGGGGTTTCCAGTTTTTGGAATGGGCTTTTGTTTTTTTTCCGCCCTCCCGCGTACCTTTTCGCGGAAAAAAGGACGTTAAACAATGAATTAACAAAGGGTGGCCTAACTCTGAGTTTCACTGTTCTAATAAATCATCAGACAGCAATTATAAATAAATTTAATTACAATACAGAAATTCTGAATGTACATGTACATGATTGTATGCACTTACTGTCGTAAGTTTGCCCAGGGCTTGAGATGAATGGTCTCATTCTCCGTTTCAATGGCCCCATCTACATGTACTAGTACATTATACTTGAAGTACCAACTACTCAGAGTGGTCATCTGTTTCTGCCATCTATATGTAGTATAGGTAAGTGTGTGTGTGTTTAGAAGTGACTCACAACCTTTATGTCACTTGTCAGTGTGTGTCAAGGTGTGTGTGCGTGTGTGTATGTGGTGTGTGTGTGTGCCTGTGTATGTGTGTGTGTGTGTGTGTGTGTGTGTGTGTGTGTGTGTGCGTGTGCGTGTGTGCTTGTCTCTGTGTACATGTGTATGTGTGTGCTTGTGTGTGTGTATGTGTGTGTGTATGTGTGTGTGTGTGTGTGTGTGTGTGTGTGTTGTGTGTGTGCGTGCGTGCGTGCGTGCGTGCGTGCGTGCGTGCGTGCGTGCGTGCGTGCGTGCGTGCGTGCGTGCGTGCGTGCGTGCGTGCGTGCGTGCGTGCGTGCGTGCGTGCGTGCGTGCGTGCGTGCGTGCGTGCGTGCGTGCGTGCGTGCGTGCGTGCGTGCGTGCGTGCGTGCGTGCGTGCGTGCGTGTGTGTGTGGTGTAGAATAGACAACTGTGGTTTTGTTGCTAACTGCTCTGCAGTTCTTAGATCATTATTTTCATCTCGAAGTGTACTCCCCATGGAGAACATGGGCATCCAGTCACACAGGCTTAGCCACGTTTCAACGGGGGGTTTTCCTGAACAGAATCTTACAGATAGGCCTATCAGAGAGCATGCCATGTTTGGTATGGCTATGCATGAAGGGTGTCACCAGCTATTGTGCTTGTCATTGGTGCAAGCCCATGCATGATGCACAGTATGTACAGGTATGCATGGGTGGTCCATGCGGAGTCTACGGACTGTCATTCGGACTCTAGAAGCAGTTCAAACACAGCAGATTAGTACTGACTACTGTATTGTATTCCTTACTTTGCCTACAAAGTACAAGTGAGCCTTGACAGCTGGAGAGCACATGTAATTTAAACTGGCTCTGCTTGACAGGAGCACTAACCATGTTGACGGATGGAGGGCAGAGGTAGAGCTGCGGCTTGATTCACTGACTGATCAAGCCATTCAAGGGCTTTGTCTGGAGTGGAGGATGGGAAAAACATTTTGTATGAACCAGCTTTACAGGCGGGTCGATGGTCACACTGATCCACAATGCACAAGCAATAGTGATGCCACAAAGGCCCATACCAGTCATGTACATGTACATACATGGTTATTATGGGTGTGGCAAACCCAAACACTTTCTCAGTCTTAATGGTTTTTAAATGTTGTGAAATGAGGTGCATGGCGTAAATCATGTGACAGTGAGTGCATGTTCAAGTGCCCATAACGTCAAGGTCTGGATAAGAGAGATATGAGTGTACACTGTACAGCATCCAGGGTATGAGTGTACAGCATCCAGGGTATGAGTGTACAGCATCCAGGGCAGGGGCCGCGGGAGGTAGTGCAGGGTGGTACTGTCAGCCACCTGAACTGGCTGGAGCAAACTTTACTTGTGGCGTTGGGGTGGCTCCTCTGAATAATTTCGAAAATTACAGCCCAGATCAGTGCTTTTTATTCACGTGGTACCCGGGGCAAAGAGTTGTACGGTCAATATGATAGCGACTGTAGCGTGTCCGACACCCCTTTATATAGTGTAGCATCACGGAGACTCCCTCGATTTAGGCTAAGGCCTGTGGAGAATCCATAAATACAAATACAAATCACACGTCTTTCTGCCGTGTCTATACATGTATAGTGTAGCATCACACGTCTTTCTGCCGTGTCTATACACATGATACATGTATAGTGTAGCATCACACGTCTTTCTGCCGTGGTGTCTATACATATAGTCACTGTTACCGTAGTAGGTGGCCAATAATCAATGTAAAATTTGAAAACCACTTCGGACCATTTTACCAGCAATTGTTATTAGTTCAATGCGAACTAGTGATTGGGGTTCTGCATTTGCTTAAGCATAACTTTAACATTTTAAGAACTGTTTAACTTAAAGTGCGATAAGAAGTAAAGGAGTTGCAGACATCGCCACACAACATAGCGCGGTGATATACAGTGCACGTACATGTGCATGTAGTAGGGTGAAGCGATCACTAAAAATTGGTTATCTATTACGGGTCCATGGATGCAGCTAATGGGGTCTTTCTCGGCACTTGTGCCAGTGGTTGTGAGACGTATCCACTCACCCCCACCGTTAGGCGCTGCATACGCCGCTAGGGTTTACCGGGTGTTAGCGGCCGACGTGAGTTCCCTTTGTGAACGGACACGATAATTTACTTTTTTATATTTTTTATATTTGTTAACCCATTGACTGCTGAGCCCGAATATATTCGGGATTCAGGATGACGTCAGGGCGCTGAGCCCGAATATACTCGGGCTGACAGGCTATCCTACCGTACTAAGCTCCGTGTTCCAGCGTAGGGTTGCAAGAGACCCCAGAGTCGAGCGGTACATTTCCTGCATTCAGTACGAGAGGATGCGGGTAGGAATCCCGCTTGGATACTTTTTTGTGTCATATAGCATTTTGTTCCCCTTTCTAGGAACTATATCGAGTTGGTCAGCGTGATGATTATAGCCTTGGTCAACATTTCACAAGAGTTCAACAACCTAGTTGTTTAGATTATGAAGTTGTGGAGCTTTACATTGACCCTATTTTTAGCATTTTCTTCAGAGCCTCAGATGAAAGGCCCTGTAGCCCTCAATGGGTTAACAATCGAGTGGGCGGTCATAGCGATTATCTTCAAGTACATAATTTCATTGAGTGTGTGCTACTTTCTTCTGCCTTTTGTGAGAAAATAGAAACGAAGCAGGTTCGGATCATGAGGCCACCGATGCCAGACCACTTAGAATCACAGTTATCAATTGTAGATACATGTATACATGTACATCATGTACATGATTGTATAGTTACTACAATTATAGGATCGTGAGTGACCAGGCCTGCCGATCCAGCATTTTCGGTGTCTGAAAACTTGTGAAAAGCGTTCCCAGTACTCGATTAGTACGTTCTGCAACTGTTAGTGAGCATCGAGTACAACCATAACGAGTAAGGGACGAGTAATCGGCGGCGGCATTTCACCCCTAACATGTAGTTCTATATTGTGTGGTGATGGATGCAACTCAGTGATAGTGGTCCTTTTTTCTAGGCGATTCACACGACAGACATTCTCACGTTTCAGAGCCCGCGGCCAACCAGACTTTTCCCGGCGGGAATTCAAATGTGCATGCGAGTTGAACTGTTCTTTGCCCGCGAACACTCTCCATCCACAGGAACTGAAGCTTTTGAAAAGTCACAATAATGTAGCACAGAAAGCTCAGGGAAGAATGTGTGGATGTTTTGGTTTTTGCAAACATCGCGCCCAGGGTGTAGTACAACACTAGTACATGACTGTATTGTATAACTCCCTGAGTCCCTGGTAGCGCCCAGGGAATCATACAAAGGTTGTACCCGGGAGTACATGTACATGTACATGTATCTGGGTCTACAGGTCACTGGTACATTGTCGACTAGTCGCGCCTCAAAATCATCACAAGTCGCCATGGTCACCAACATAACTAACTGTTACTTGACCACTGGCACTTGTGCCATCCCTGATTTTCCCCTGCGAAATGCTTCCATGTCCTCACGGTCGACAGGCATGTCTGCTGTGTGTATCCGCATATCCTTGTTGCACAGTCCATGATCCCCACGACCCCACGACCCCACACACATACATGCATACATGTAACAGCACAGTCAGTCAAGAGTTGGCCTGTGGGGTGCCTTTGTATATTTTTTTGGCTAGTCAGCATGGTCAGTGCAGCAGCTAAAACGATTGTACATTGTACATGTCTGTCATGTTGTACATCACACTGCACTGAATACTAGCCTAGCCTAGCCTGTCCACAACAAGCCACCTGCATGCTGTTATCCGCTATGTATTTGTTGTGTGATCTGTAAAACTGGACAGCGCCAGACTAAAATTTGAGTGGTCATGAACCACGACTGTGTACTGTGTAGACTTTATCAGGTTATGTACAGACGTCAAGACATGTCTAGACAGTCAGTGTATGATCCAAAGACCACAGTTAGACCCGCCTAGCGGAGTAGCGCGCATATTATTCTGTGTCACACTCACAGACGTCAGTGTGTGGCCGGCTGGATGCTGGGGATTATGCTGCTTTCTTCCAGGTACTAGGTCACCTCCACTCCAGGCCGCGCCGGGGTCTCCGGTTCCGGGCTGCCAAAATGCAAAAAATACAGTACAATTCATACAGTCTTAGATCTAGACATGTCTGTGCCCGGTAGCCGGCCGGCCCATGGCCCAGCGCCTGTGCGCTAGGCGAAAAAAATTATGCGGCGTCCGAAAAGTGATGCAAATACTGAGCTCATGATATACCTGATCTGATTTGATCTGAGGCCTCGAGGCTATGTCGGAGTGAGTTACAGTATGACAATAATAATTATCGTATTGTTAGTTGTAGGCTAAAATAATTAGAAAGAAGTACAGTGTAGTCTTGGCAGTAGAGATTTAGAGCCTTGTTTGCTTACGTCTTTAGCAGCTGCTGCTCAAGATGAATGTGATCACAGCGTTTCTCGTCTCCCTGCTCGCTATTCCGGTAATGCGAGTCTTCAATAATCTAGACCTAATGTCAGACCATCGAGCCATATTCATATCTGCCGCAGCCGTCTTGGCATTCATCGCATTGATCGTCTACGTGAATAAACTTCTCACCGCCCAAGACAAGAATCCCGTCAATGACAAGTTCGTGTACGGTAAGCTAGCGACTGCAGTCTGCATGATCTGCAGCATGTAGACCAAAATGTAATGTTCCTGCAACGGCTTTCTCAATATTGCGCAACAAAACGTTGGCTGATGTCAGTGATGATCGTTACTGCACCAGTAGTGAGTACTACAGTCCATTTCAAAACTATAGACGCGTACCTAGGCAAAAACCGTTATGCCAGCATCTATACCACATAAAATCTGTGATCACTTTGTGCATAAATTTTTCCAAATTGGGCGTCTGTTATCCAATCCTTTAGAAACTATATGAGAGTAATTGTGGAGCGATCCTGAGCAATATTCCGAAAACTATTCTCAAAAAGTTCCAGCCAAATTTGAAATATTTCAAAAACCCTACGCGTCTATAGTTTTGAAATGCACTGTAGTAGTACTAGTACTAGTATACGTTGTCCACTTGGAAAAGAATTAATGTTCTGTTCGTTTGCCAATGTTATTTTGTCGAGTTTATTTTTTGCACTGCGTGGCACTAGTCTTATTGCAAAAAACACTTCTAACAACAATATAGACCAAGTGTCTGGGTTGCTTGCTGCGCAAAGTGCTCTGTGCCCAAGCACTGAAGCAGGAGCAGAGTGTACCATGCAAAGGCAAACCAACAGAGACCAAAAGTCATCATCCGTAACCGTTCGTCTGAGCCTCGTGTGAAAAAACACATTGACGAGTGTAACACGCAACTCTGACTTCTGGAAAGTGACTTTTGGTCTAACAACACTGAATACGTACATGGAGGCGGTTCATGTGGGTGTAAAGAAAGGTTTTAAAAAAGTAGCTTCTCTGACACGACGCGGCTCGAGGCTAACTTGGCACCCGGAATAACTGAAGTCGGTGTGTGTGTGTGGGGGGGGGGGGGGTGCGTGTCACGGTGTGTGCGTGTGTGTTTGTGTGCAAGTAAATGCAACTACATGATCAGTGTTTGAAGCCCAGCTCTGCCAGATCTTTCATTTTACCTGAGAATCTTGTTCAACGTCAGCCCAGATAACCCGGCTGCCGAGGGAACAATTCCCTTGAACATAACTTACAAGACGGCGAGAGGGAACTCCATTGCTTTGCTTCTCTCCTTGGTGCTTGGATATGTTTCACTGACACAGCTGATTTACAATCAAAAAGACACTTCAGAGTGTGCTGCTCAAACTCCTTGAAGCATTTTGGACTGCCATGCCCCCCTCCTCCCACCCAACCTCTCCACTGGGTGCTGTGATGATGGTATATGTTTGAGGTGCAGTACGACCAAACCTCAAAGACATGGACGGCGCCATGTGTACAATATCATTGATCTTGCTCAGTGTGATTTCTGTCGGGGGAGGGGGGTTATGACCGTAGCGGTCCTCGTCTTGAAAAGCTGCCATGCATTCAAGTTGACTGCTGCTTGGACAGGCTACAGTCACAGGGAGCACGGTGGAAGCATTGTTTTTGTTTTCCAGCTACAAAGCTGCACGCAGCTAAGTAGTTAATGGCATGGTCGTTTGCCTCCGCCTTCTGGTCTTTCCTGTTGTGGCACGATGCGACATGCTGCAGTTGCCTGTGGATGGTAAAGCCGTTTAGTTAGCTAGCCTGTTGTGAGTTCATAATTATGCAGTCACCCACAACCAAACTGTCTGGACACAAACCCCGTGATTTGCACCAGTGAAGAGCGTGAGTTATCTAGCAGCATACCTACAGTGATCTCATCAGAAGAACTGAACTGGCTTTGTGAATCCCGAGCGCCAATAGGCGAGGGCTCAAAATAGCGGTATGGTCGCCCCTTTCCTCTAGCCACGCAACAACTACTAAGTGACACTCTGCTGGGGCCATCACCATGTTCAACATGTCTTTGAGACCTGGGACTAAAAGGAGTAAAGGACCATTAATTCTGTCTTCAGACAGTGGTCGTTCTTGGTGTTCCAAAGCCAAGGATGGCTGCGACGGACACATCTTACCAGGTGGCGTGGCTTTGTGTTAGGGGCCGTCCAAGGTTACCAATAACATTTTCAAAACGAAATGTTTTCGTTTGTGGGTGGGTGGGTTTGATGGAGTTTCGTTTTGAAAATAATTATTGAATGCTGATGGAGAATGCCCAGTTACTTCTGGATGTCGAAAATTGACATCAATATTTTATTTAAATAGGCGTCGAGGCGACAATAGTTTTAGAATTGCGATCAACAGAACGAGCTGAACCGACATTTCACAAAGGCTTTTATTGTATTCAAAAAACGAGTGGATACGAAGGCAGTGAAGAACATGGAAGAAAGAAAAAATGTGATATGGAGAAAATGATGAACAAAAACACCAGTGTTCAGACACCGTGTCAGAAACTAAACGTTATACGCGACATTACGGCAGTAGAAACGTTTCCTCAGCACAGCATTCAGCAAATCTATCTGATTTTGTGTGTACCTCAATCTGAAATATGTAAATAGGCGTCGAGGCGACAATAGTTTTAGAATTGCGATCAACAGAACGAGCTGAACCGACATTTCACAAAGGCTTTTATTGTATTCAAGAAACGAGTGGATACGAAGAAACGAAACGTTATACGCGCCATGCTGTTTCACTTGATTTCAGTTTTCACGGCCTTTTCTCCCGCTTGCTGGCGGTTTTTTGATGGATATAGATGTTTTTCGGCTATTTATCTATTATGTGGCTGCGAGTGTGGTTTTTTGCTTCTACTCAAAACTTTTCGTTTTGTAAAAACAATCGGTAACCCCGGACGGCCCCTTATACAGTAGGAAGTACTTAAAGTAGCAGCAACGTACACACTGTACATGTAACTTGTATGGTGATGATTATATCCTCTGCAATGTCTGCCTTGTGATTCCTGTGTACTTATGGGTAACCGGTTGCCAGTGTTTGTTGTCTTCGCATTCACGTCGATTGTGGACTTGTTCATCGGCCTGGAACTGCACGGCTTTGTGGAGGAGTACATGGCGTTCTATTTCAAAGAGGTGAGCATCATGCTGTTATGTGCAGGTTTACGATGTGCAAGTCTGCGGTCTGTATGTGTGTGTGTGTGTGTGTGTGTGTGTGTATGTGTGTGTGTGTGTGTGTGTGTGTGTGTGTGTGTGTACGTGCGTGCGTGCGTGTGTGTGTGTGTGTGTGTGTGTGTGTGTGTATGTGTGTGTGTGTGTGTGTGTGTGTGTGTGTGTGTGTGTGTGTGTGTGTGTGTGTGTGTACGTGCGTGCGTGCGTGCGTGCGTGCGTGTGTGTGTGTGTGTGTGTGTGTGTGTGTGTGTGAGGGGGGGGGAGATAGCCGGAAGTCACTGTTGCATGGCTGGAAACATTCTGGTTGGGCCGGCCATGGGGCCAGACCAACATTGGTCCGCCCATGGGTTTATCTGCCACAGGAAGCCATGTAGCTACCTTGCGATACTCCAGGTGTGGGAGATTGGGTTACGGCAGGGATCAGTCGAGAACTGCCTCAAACTGTGGGAGGTTGGTTTATGGCTGAACCAGTCGAAAACTGCTTCTGCCGATCCTAGCCCGGATGTCTGGACGTCAGTTCCAAGGCTCTCAGCCAACACGACAGCCATCTGCCCATGGGTAGCTACTAGCTATGCCAGAGAACAGGTTGTCACCTATCTTGGAAGTGCACTCAGTGTATGTGTGTGCAGCATTGGTATAGTGTATGGCTTCCAGACCAGGTAACCTGTTGCCACGGGTTGCTGGAGGACTTGTCCTTCTAGATTTGATGCTGGGATACCCGTTTGTCATGATACAGCTGAAATTCTCTCAGTGCCATGATTTTGCTGTTTACTTGAAAGCCGCTCTGCCAGATTGCCCGCAGTCACTAGAATAGTCTAGCTTTCCATTGTAGCAATACCTGTACCTGTAGTGTGACACCATACCCAACACACTCACACTTCCTGAGCTCTCACTAGGCAGAGCTGTAAAGTATCTTTGTTGAAGGTACACGCTGGTGGCCCAGCCGGGTTGGTCATTCAGGTGCTCAGCCAAGCCAAGCCTGCTGTTTTGGTGATGTGTAACGTATGCTCAGGGCGAGCCTTATCTCTACACCTCACATGGTATGATCATCAACTACTGGGATGGTACTGGTCACTACATCCTGGCTCTGGTGCTGCTCTACTGTATCACAAATAGGTCAGTGAACCGATCGCCACTACACTCTACACATGTACGAATACAGTTGTAGCATCATACACGCACTGCACGCACTTACACACACAGTGCCCATACATGCACACAGACACACATGTGCGTCACCACACACACACACACACACACACACACACACACACACACACACACACACACACACACACACACACACACACACACACACACACACACACACACACACACACACACACACACACACACACACACACACACACACACACACACACACACACACACACACACACACACACACACACACACACACACACACACACACACACACACATACACACGCACATGCACAGGTGATAGTGAATAGGGCTCGATCAATGTAGGTTCTCTCATCGGAGTCATTGAACGGTGCAAAGTACAGAGCTGTATCTAAGCTAGGCCGTGGAGTGTCCGGCGTTTGTAATTACGTAATCGGAACAGGGCCATTCGCGTTGCAGACCACAAGCGCCGATCACATTGTACTGCTCCCCTATTGTGTTTGCCGCAGACTGGAGCATCGATACACAGGCCTCTACTGGGTTGGGTCGATCATGAACAGTATGCCAGTACTGTTACTGGGTGGATTAACAGGTACAGTGAAGCAACTCCTAGGATCACAGACTTGTTCTCCTTAGCCAAGCTATCTCTCTTTTTAACCCTTCATCGACCGCTAAATTGTAGCGAAATCACAAGTGTGAGTCCAGCTCTCCAGAATTCTGACACTTCTTGGACCATAGCTTTGGTTTCCTTTGGACGATTTGCACAATCTTGGGTTTTCGGATAGCTAGTTGTGAGAAGAACATGCAAGTTGAGCCTAGAAACTTTTCCACAGTGGCCACAACAATAGTGCCCCCACCTCTAACACCGATATCGCATCCAGTTGACAATGCTTTGGTCGGATTGGACAGCCTCCGGTTGGTTTTTAACCCAAGCATAAAACGTGTGGACTCGAGCATGCGGCCTCGACCTGGATAGAATGCTGTATTGTGCAACGGTTTCACAATCAGCAATGGCACCTTGAACATCCTGGCTTAGAACATGTTGTGATGTTGTGATTGCCATAGCATGGCCGTGCTGTCGTACAAGGTATTGCCTCCGTTGCAAGTGGCACACGTGATCACTGCGTAGTCACAGTGTCATGTGTGCAGTACGACACTTCACCACGGGTCACGTTTAGAGTAGCTCTTCGGGGAAAATGGATCTAAAGTGTAGCAATGTGAGTTTCCACATTGTCCAATATCGTGTTGTTCAGTTCCGAAAACGAAAATATCCCTATCTTGAAAATGTAAAAGGCTCTAATCCCACAATGTGCTTTTTGTTTACTTTTCGAAAAGAATCTCTGAGCACATAACAGCCGTGCTTCATCTTGACCCATGGACACTTTCCCCTGTGCAAGTCTTCTTACTTGATCCTTCCGATGCCATCTGTCTCTTTTCTGATATTCTCTGCCTTCTTTCTGAAATTTCTTTGCCAACAGGAAAGTTTGGTCATAAAGTGAAGCCATCATTCTTCCTGAACACACCGTATGTGCTGTGTCCGATACTGTTTGGCCTGCGTATCCTCACGTCTCCCCGGCCAGAGTACAAACCCGCAGTAAGTCCGTCACCATTGCCCGCACCGCCGTGCGAGCCACGTGAAGACTGCTGCACGTGGCTTAGATTCACCGGCGGTCACAAGATACACCTACAGCTGTTGTGTTCGGTGTGGCCGCCGCACTGTGCTATGTGTGCAAGGAGAACAGCCAGCGGCGGATACAGCGATCTCTACTGGGGGTTCCAGTATAGCCGAAAGTGAATAGCTGATACATGTGCATGGACACGCATAATAATTATTGTGGTTGCCAGTAGTGCGTTTACGAAATTTAGGGGGTTCCGCGGAATCCCTGGAACCCCTCCTGGATCCGCCCCTGATAGCTACAGGCAAAGTCTGCTTTCACCAATCAGCCATTAGGCCGCCCCATCATGGATTGCTCTTTGAATACAGGCAGTGGCCAGAAACTTGAACCTCGACTTTCCAGCACATCCAGTGACAAAGAAACTGGGTGGTCTTCCAGACCAGGTTGTTCGTGACACAATGTGTATGACGTTGGCCAGGTTTCACCTCAACCTTGGTAGCATACACTTGGTAAGGGCCCATCCGGCATTATCGATAATTTTAACGAAACGAAATGCTTCTTTGAAGTAGTTACGTTGTGATCCTCGCCCACCCATCCACCCCGGCATTCAAATCCCTGCGCGAAAACACATTGAGTTGACAGATCTACAGTGCAGAATGGATTGATGTTTCAAATATGATTTGTTTCAAAGCGAAGCTGATCTCGGCCCACCTATCCAGAAACAAAACTGTTTTTCTTCGTGTAAAATGATATTTATGGACATCCCAGGTAAAGAAGATATTACCTGTGTTGTGCGTCCCTTGTGTACCTATTTATTATTATTCTTTATTTCCACGATGGCTTATGGCCAATAAGGAAGATAAGTTATGATTCAAATCAGTCCACGATCATATAAAATCAGCCTAGCAAGTAAGGAAGCCAACGCATTGCAGAGGGATAGGGTTACTATGGGGTACAGTGTGAGCTACTACAGGAGCATATGGATGATAGAATGAGGCTAGACGCCACTGGTTTACACGCATGATTTTTTTCTTCTCTCTAGCCGGGCAAGGTCAAAGGAGCACGGTCAGCGTTTGTTTGGATACTGGATGCTATTCTGATTGTTGAGTTGCTGATCTGTATCCTCGTTTTCATCGTGAAAGGAGTGGTAAGTGTTGACCAGTACAATCATGCTCAATTACCTGTACAGTGAAACTGGCTTGTCTAAGACGACCGTTCAAGGGACGTTCAAAACGTGGTCTCTGTTACCTGGTGGTCGCCATTTGACTGCGGGAAATAGCATCCCTTGGTGTTGGTTGCAGTGGTCTTGGGACAGGCGGTCGCCTTATCCGAGTGGTCATCTTGACAGGTCTTACTCTACATCAGCAGCTAGCACACTGCAAGTTGTTTTGTTTTGCAAGTTGTATTGATTGCGGCCACGACAAGAGATCACGTGGTGCTGGCTAATGGTCATCCTAAGTTGATACTAAGCTTCAAAGCCGGCCATCAGACCGAGGCTATCCACCATTATGCACTTGACTTGGTTGGTAGTACAGGCTACACCTTATTGTGTGCTGTATGGCCAGTGCCCAGTGGGCACTACGGCCAGGTGTAATCTGTTGGTGGAACCCCACCTCTTGTCACCTTCATAAACCTATCCATCGTTTTGGCACTGCTCGCTGTTCATCAGTTTGTACATGTACATGGCATGTAGTACACTTGCTATGCTACCATGATAGCCTATGTGGGGACATTGTGTGTTGCTGTGCTCCCGCTGTTCTGTGACATAGGCGGCCAGCGGCTCACCATCCCACTACTTTCATCTGTATGCAAGCGATTATGAGCCGTACCTACTGGACGCTACCAACTTTGGCACAATCCAGGTCAGTTTTGCCAGCTGGATTCCTTTTCACATAACCAGGTGGTTATTCCTTTTTAACTACGATACAGAAAACCTGTGTTTGCCTGACCCTGTACCAAGCGGAATTGAGCGGACAAAATTTCATGCATGCTGTGGATTGAACACGCATACCTGGACCAAGCGGAATCCTGTCATATCAGGACAGTTTCCGCTGCGCCAAGGGCGTCCGGTTAGGGCAGGTTTCACTGTACATGTACAGCGAGTGCGTTCGATTATGCCCACGAGTAGGTTCATGAATCCATTCATGAATCTATTCATGAATCGCCCCTGGCTATTCACATCACCCCATGTGAATAGGGCGAATGGATTCCGAATCGATTCCAGGGCGAATGGCATGAAATCGAACGGCGAGATTCCATTCATGAATCGATCCAAGTGCGTATTCGAACAACGCACTCACTGCGATGGGTCTGTGTGAGCGGTTACAGGTGTATGTTAGCGGTTACATTCGCCGTGTGTATCCGCACTGGGTTGAAAAAATTCACTGAAACTTGCAACTGTCTAAATATACAGGTAATCATTGCTCATCATAGGGAGGCACCATCATAGCATGATCAATAGCATGATCAATAGCATGATCAATGCACTTAGCTGCTATGGTGTTATGGTGTTGACCCCAACAAAACAGGCTAAAGCGTCCTATCCACAAATGTTGCATGCGCAGTAAAACTCCTTAATCCGGATGCCCCTAATCTGGGCACGTCTGTCTACCGTCGGGCTACTTTCTGACTCATCTAGAGGCACAAAAATTGGCGTTTCAGGCCCGGAAAACGGCCCCAGAAACTATTGATTGGTATAACAAAATGTTGCTTGCATGCAATAGGTATGTATGTTCTGAGTTAGGGGCAATTCCTAGTTACGGGCAGTGCTCGGTCCCAATCTACCCGGATTAGCGGGGTTCTACTATACAGTGGAATTACTAGTAAGTAATTTCACTATAAGACCCGTGCTCTGCGAAAACCGACCTTAGGTGCTTCGTAATTTTTTCGAGAAAAAAACAAAACGTCACGGTCTGTCGATTTTTGAAGATCACAAGGTGAGAGTCATGGCAGAACGAAGCAGAAGACGGTCGCTAGCTCAAATTGCTGTGGGCTTCTCCCCAGAGGTTTCATCCGAACTCCTTCGCGATGAATAGTCATTTTTTTGGCCTGGTCCAATCGCAGTTCTGATGACAGCAGTGCCGAGGAGAGTCGGATGTGGAATCGCAGGATACAACGCTGATCGGAGCTGGACGGTGATGCGGAGGAGAATTTCGATCAGGTGTCAGTTCTGCCACCAGCCCAGCCCCTCAATGCCGGCAATAAACAGAGTGCAGACCAAGAAAAATCGGTTCAAGTACTGTCTACAATCCAGGAGGCTCGCGACAAGTTTGACAAGGGCTGTAGTTGTTGCGCACTGGTGCTGTTTGAAGAGCGTGACACTTGAAACCCCCTTGCTGACACTAACTGTGACTGACAGTGCACACAGCCAGCGCAGGTCCTGACCAAGTCAGAGCGCTGCTTGTGTGTAGGCGGAAAGCTCAGACGTGCTCAGGAGACGTGGTGAGGCTACCCAGCGCATCCAGCATACTAGGAGATGTGATAGATGGGGCTCAACAATACTAAGTCTTTCTACTCTGAGCTACTGAACTCTGAAGTACAGTCAGTGGCTGGTGTGGAAGTCATGTACAGTAAAACCTGGTGTAAGCAACCTCTGGGTTTAGCGACCACCTGCTCTTTACGACCGTTTTTCCATGCGCCAACAGTTCTAAGCAGAAACTGTGGGACCTGGTTCTAAAGACCACCTGGCTTTAACGACCGCTTTTGCTTGCACGTGGGGTGGTCGCTTAAACCAGGTTTTACTGTACAATTTACATGCATGTCAGGAAGTCTTTGTGTATGCCTCCAGTATCAAGCCCTGGGTGCTGAAATCTGTGCAGGCTGCTGTCAGTGCAAGTGAAATCAGCGGCCCAACACAGGAAGGGAATGAACTCTGGAATGCACTGCCTGTGGAAGATGTGGAGCTGAAGCATTTTGTAGAGCATTATGCTATAGTTCATGGCCTCCCTTAACCTGCAGCTCCACATGTACACAACAAGCCAGTACCAACCTACATGTATTTGCCCTGTATCACTACGAAGAAACTTGTTCACCAGGCGTTCACAAAGCCTGGTGGCAAAGCCGCATACAGTACGTTTGGCAAGATTTGGAAAGGAGACTGCCATGATATCACCGATTATGAAACACTGTGTGCGGCAGATGTAGACATAACTAGATGTTCAAACTACCAGTACCAGATAAGACTATCAGTATCCTTTAACCTGGCAATGATCCTAGCTTCTTCACCACTTAGCACCTGCCTCTACCCATCACTCCGGCTGGCATATCCTAATACAGAGCCAAATACCTCTTCCAGGAGATTCGTGAGCAACACCATCCACATAACAGAGATAGAATGTGTCTATCTCCATAACAGGAAGATCCAATGCCATCATAAGCCTTTCCGGCCTTTTGAAGATCATGACATACAGATTTATTCTGCAAAGTTTGGTTGCAATCATGCTGCTTGAATTCTCACAGCATTGGTTCCAAAATGTAGCATAAAATCTAGGATTTTTGCTGTTTTCCCCAAAATATTACAGGAAAAGTGCAAAGAAATTGTCCTTGTATCTAACTGAATATGTATGCAATCCACCTAAAACTTCACCAGAAGTTGGAGAAAGGGTCATGGGTCAACAATCCAGCACAAACTCAATTTCGCCAAAATAGCACCTAAGGTAGGTATTTGCAGAGCGCTGGCCAATTATAACATGCCTCCAGTGAACGTAAAATCAGTACTTTCAATAATAGCTGATTTACTCTCTATCCGAAGTCGAATGACTAGGAAAAAGAATGTTCAGAAGCCTCAAACATGTTCTCTATATCCTATGAAAGAAAAATAATTATGTTATCCCGCCCTGGGTAGGTGTATGCATCATCCTGAAGTTTCACTGTGATTTTTCACCGTACACTCATACGTCGTTTATCCGGGCAGTCCGGGACCGGCCACTGCCTATAACTTAGAAATGTTCGTAGCTCCGAATCACATACATTGTGATGGTGAAAGGCCATAGAAATGGCATCTGGCGTCACTATTTCCACAAAGTGAAAGAGTAGTAATATTTCCACTGTAACGTGCCCAAATGGTGCCCGGTACTGAGACCGAAATACCCGTTACTTCAGTCGGGGTCCGGCTGATTGCCGAGGTAACTGTTAGGAGTGTATAACTTTTTCGTGTTTGTTTTTCTCCCACAGGCATTCCAGTACGCAGCGTACTATATACCAGGGTGTATTGCGGTGATCTACGGCCTGTGCGTACCTGGCTGTGCCTGGCTGCCCGACGTCTCGGCTCTCGTTGCGGGAGGTGTCATGCAGGTAAGCCATTGATAGACGTGACTTGTCCACCGCCGCTGTATAACCCCGTGCTCAGGGTGTGTACATGTTTGCATGATCTGGTGCTGGAGACCTGTGCAGTACACTTTTGATACAGATGTGTTGACAGGCTGAGAATCCCGGCTACAGAGCTGAAGTGTGCATAGGCTGCAACTCGCAAGTTCAATTTGGCAGATCATTGGGAAAAATGGTCTCTCTCTCTCTCTCTCTCTCTCTCTCTCTCTCTCTCTCAGGCACACACAAAGTTTACAAACATCCACACACATGCAAAAACACACACTCTCTTATCGATCTCTGTGTTACTTTGACATGCGCTGCCCTGTGTACAGGGTCAGCTCTCGTATATTGTCTCATCGCTGGCCCAGCGCACCGACCCTCTGTCCCGGGTACCCGGTGATGCATTGCCAGTGTTCTGGTGTGTCAACCTTGCCGTCCTGCTGGTACCACAGTTCCTCTTAGTGCGCACTATGCTATTGCCACGCTTCTTTGCTACCCCTCCAAAGTCAACCAAGACGTCGTAATGCTGTTGAAACGGCTGCTTTCCTGTTGCGGCGTGCTTGCGACGGTTTTATGATGCATGTTGACATCTGAACATATTTCGACAGTTTGTTTCCACAGCCTGCAATGTCCGGCACTGGGTGATATTATGGCGTCAGCATGGTGACTTGCATGGCAGATCATCTGCCTACGAATCACTGTGCCACCGACTGGCCACCGTATCGTGATAATCTTACCCAATTAAGAGAGCATGTCTGAGAAAACCAGAACATATGTGCAAGTCGATCTCTCAGATTTCGCTCAAATTTTGCAGGTAGGTTTGCTTTGGGGTGTAGATCGACATTCCAAAGCCCGCGCAAAATCTTTTGAAGGGAACCATGAAATTGGCATACCCCTCAATATTGGCCCAATATTGGCACGATTTATGGGTCTACAAACGAGCTACGGCACAGCGTACAAGAACAAGCTACGAACAAAACTCCATCAAGTCAACATTACCTCACCTTAGAAGAGTTCTTGGGGCAGCACCACTCAGCCACGCCAGCATCCCAGAAGACGAGGGCAATCATCCCTTGACGCCACAAATGATCGTCTTGAAAATAGCCAAATTACAAGCGCTGATAAAACAGCGAGCTACGTCCTCAATTAGCAAACACTAAACACCGGCAGATAGTAGAACACCTCTTCTAGCACTGAGGACATGTCCCCCATCATCCTTTTTGGGTTTTCTTGAAATAAACAATTTTGAATTTTTCCACTCGACCATTCTGAAATACGTCCAAACTCATACCTGCGCAGGAAAGCTCGCCCCTCCGCGACGTCTAGTCAGCAATTTCTACTCCAACACCACTCCCAGCGGTGCAGAACAAAGTGTATTGTTGGCTCTGACAAGGAAAAGCAGCGGTGATCACTTGTCACTCCAAACGACAAGCTTCTCCTTGCGCCACCAACATTTTTCGGTGCAACATTTGATGCAAAAGTGACTGAATTTTTGCGTGTAGTTTTTGGATTTTACTGCAAGAGGAATGATGAAATCACGTGCTTCGTGACACAAGAATGCCAGGTCTCGTAGATCACGGTTCAGCAGTTGTTCCGAGTCACCTTGATCAAGCGCACCTGCGCACTTACATGGATCACCCGATGATCAAGATCGGATCAAGTGCATCTTGATGTCCAGCTCAAGAGCACGCATGTCGTGTTGTAGGCCTTCCAGCCGGGACTTTCCCTCAATATGCAGCACACAGACTAGGGCGAGTAGGGTCAAATCACGTTGTTCATGACGTAAGAAATCTGCCATGTGGGCGCGCCACATACCCCATGCAACCAGTGTAGGCCGCGCGCTGGTCAACTCCAAGCGACCTTGATGGCATGGACAACGGTCATTCCTTGCTGTTGCAGATCTACGTGGATCATCAGCATGTAAACTAGCCGTAGTTCCTGTTGAACCATGTTCGGGATGAGCGAGGTTAGTGTGAAAAAATGCATCCCTGTTCTTACTGCAAGAGGAAATATCTCAAAGAATTCTTGCCAATGCAATACTGCTAGTGCTATAACGATAGTGTCTGAATGTTCTGAGCAGAGCATGCAAGAAATATAATGCATCTTACCTCCTGCCTCATGGTCCGTTTCGAATAGCGCCTCGGGAACGATCGTGATCATGTGCATTGTGTCGTGCACCAGAAAGCATTATCCTACGTCACGATGCACGTGATTTCTTCATTCCTCTTGCAGTAAAATCCAAAAACTACACGCAAAAATTCAGTCACTTTTGCATCAAATGTTGCACCGAATTATGTTGGTGGCGCAAGGAGAAGCTTGTCGTTTGGAGTGACAAGTGATCACCGCTGCTTTTCCTTGTCAGAGCCAACAATACACTTTGTTCTGCACCGCTGGGAGTGGTGTTGGAGTAGAAATTGCTGACTAGACGTCGCGGAGGGGCGAGCTTTCCTGCGCAGGTATGAGTTTGGACGTATTTCAGAATGGTCGAGTGGAAAATTCAAAATTGTTTATTTCAAGAAAACCCAAAAAGGATGATGGGGGACATGTCCTCAGTGCTAGAAGAGGTGTTCTACTATCTGCCGGTGTATAGTGTTTGCTAATTGAGGACGTAGCTCGCAGTTTTATCAGCGCTTGTAATTTGGCTATTTTCAAGACGATCATTTGTGGCGTCAAGGGATGATTGCCCTCGTCTTCTGGGATGCTGGTGTGGCTAAGTGGTGCTGCCCCAAGAACTCTTCTAAGGTGAGGTAATGTTGACTTGATGGAGTTTTGTTCGTAGCTTGTTCTTGTACGCTGTGCCGTAGCTCGTTTGTAGACCCATAAATCGTGCCAATATTGGGCCAATATTGAGGGGTATGCCAATTTCATGGTTCCCTTCAAAAGATTTTGTGCGGGCTTTGGAATGTCGATCTACACCCCAAAGCAAACCTACCTGCAAAATTTGAGCGAAATCTGAGAGATCGACTTGCACATATGTTCTGGTTTTCTCAGACATGCTCTCTTAATTGTGGTGGTGTGGTGGTTCACTGCCCGAAACGATGCCGGATTCCGATCAGGTGCCTGTGTGGGCCCTGGCTTGGTTTGGCCAGCACTGGCATCTATACGTATGCTGCAACGGTTTGTTTAGCAATGCCCGGAGTGTTTGCCAGTTTGGACTGAATGTGATGTATGTAGATTCCCAACGACTTGTAGAGCTTACTAGGTAGATTTGTTGCTCAACTAGCACACGTGTACAAACGTATCCTGATCTATTTTTAAAAGAGTTATTGATTTGATTATATTCTCAGGGCCAGTTTTTGGACGCCTGCTATCGATATTATTACCATGGAGTAGATATCACTGACTAGCTCTTGATGCATTTAATGCTGTGAACCAGGCCAGAGTCGTAAAATATTTTTTACGACTCCCTGTTGTGAACTACATTTCACATATTAATATTATTATTAAGTACGAAGTAGAGGTTGCGACTTCGGCGATGATTTTTGTTTAGGAATGGGTTTGCTCCAGTGTGGAAGCAAACCCATTCCTAAAATTTATATTTATTATTATTATTCAATGGATCAGTTGGGGAAGTGAACTGCCTGAAAAGAGAAAAAACCGCCAGACCCACCAGGACTCGAACCCGGGACCTTGCTTGTCATGAGCAATGCTCTAACCACTGAGCTATGGGACCGGGCTGAACCTAGAAGGCGCTGACAAGATTTATCACTCTCTTTCACTTCTGGTAGGGTCCAGAAACTGACCGTGGTTGGTCCCCTAGGGGAGGGAGAAAGACCCAAGTGCCATCAGTATGTGTGGCACGTGTTGTGAGCTGCCTTTGGAGTGAAAATCTTGTCAGCGCCTTCTAGGTTCAGCCCGGTCCCATAGCTCAGTGGTTAGAGCATTGCTCATGACAAGCAAGGTCCCGGGTTCGGGTCCTGGTGGGTCTGGCGGCTTTTTCTCTTTTCAGGCAGTTCACTTCCCCAACTGATCCATTGAATTTGAAGTTCTCCCAATCCGTTCAAAATTATTATTATTATTATTATTATTATTATTATTATTACATAATAGGTGTCAAACATTATTCAACGCAATAAATAGAGTAAGCTGCGCACTCAGTACAAACACCATAAGCAAAACTTGTTTTCATGTAAATAAAGAAGCTTGTTCCTAAACGTTTTCGTCGCCATCTCATCAGAGGATTACTGGCAAATCAACAAAAGCTCTTAACTCAATATATATACGCACAATGCAAGTACTTCAAAGTAATAATTTAGACCCTAACTAGCGCGATAAAATGAGAGCTGAAAGAAACATTACACCATTCAACGATATCAGGTGACAACAGATGCGATAAATTCACCACTAGAAAGTTACCATGCAACCACAAACGAGAACTACTGATCTAAATTCACAAACAATTTCAACGTAAACAAATTCTTTTTCTGCCTACACAAAATCGGCTTGGTGGTAAAAATGTAAATAGACTCCAATACACGCAAATACCATTGACTACGTGAACGAGACCAAACAGAAAAGCAATCATCAGCATAACTAGAACGACAATCACTATTCTGAACAAGATGGTTGGCGATAGAAGATTCATACACCCTAACAACGCTACTAGAACCAGTACATACTTTGGAATTACGTGACAATGAAACCGACCTGACATTCCTTGCCGCTACTGCCAATCCAGACGAGGCCGATGTAGATGTCCGTACCAAAGGCACGTCCGTTACTGGCACTGCCTGCTGCGATGATGCTCCCTTTGACGTTCCAATGGCTGTTGATGTTGATGAAGAGGAGGAGGGAGATGAGGAATACGCTGACGACGACGATGACGACAACGACGGAGACGATAAAGACTCTGCTAACCTCGCCCTAGAGCGAGTCACTGGTCCCGCAGACACACCATCCGGTGGTTTCTTCGGTGGCCGGCCACGCTTTTTGCCACTGGAGGTGGACACACCGGATGACGGTACAAAGGAAGTCAAAGAAGACGAAACCGCAGATACAAACGATGATGACGGGATAGAAGGAAGAGACGGTAAAGACGAAGGCAATGACGAACAAGCCGATGCCGACGAAGAAGACAACGACACCCCAGTTGGTTCCGTCCCCAGCGAGGGTGCACCTCCAGTCGCAGTACCAATCTTTGGGGGACGACCTCGTCTAGGCCTTGACGACCGTGCCTCAACAGGCATAACGTGAAAAGGCACATGCTGGTGGATCCGTGCCTCCAGGTGCTGAAGGGTCCTACCCACATACCGGCTCTCACATTGCCGGCACTCGAAGTTGTAAATAAGATGTGAATGTGATTGCGTATTGATTGCGTTGATTACATTTTTATCTCCACGGAAGCTTTTTAATTATTATTATTATTATTATTTGAGGGATTCCCCAAAGGCCGAAGCCTAAATCAAGGGAGTCTCCGAGAATAAATAATTATACGTGTACAATATGTGTACAATAGGGTGCAATTTTTAGAAGGAAGAAAATAATAAGATAAAAAAATATGTAGTGGCCCCGGCAAGAAAACAACGTGGTGTCCAAAGTAACCAAAACATTCCGGTCAAAAAGACGGACAACGACGTCGACAGGAATCGATGGATACTTCAATATGTCAAGCATGATGAAGTCGCTCGTAGATCTACCAGCACTGCAGCGCGAGCGCCATGCTACAGTGATGCGGGCAAGTCTGTCGAACACATGATGTAACCAAGAGTACTCTTGATGTAACGTTGTACCCGGCTCAAGCCCGGTGCTGGGACTTAGCAGTTGTTGGCTCTGCGACACTCCAGCATTCAAGCGGCTTGGTTGGTATCTCGGAGAGATCTATGCCCGTCACATTCACTACCTGAGCAAGAGTACAGTGTACAGTGTAGAGACGTACTAGTATCTCGTAGTGTACAATCCACTGAGGTATCTTACAGCGGGCCCACAGCCCCCCCCCCGAAATTTCCGCCCGGATCAGAATATAGAAGGTCCGTATCAGGGACCAAGTCCCAGACCATTCATTATTATAATCGGGTGGTCGCATGCGCGCGCAAGACCAAGTCAATCATACAGTTTCTGTTTTTACTTTAGACGGAAGGTTCCCAGACTGAAACCACTTCAACTGAGACCTCACTTCCATCTGTCCTTCCAAGCAAGGCACTGAGCCTCAAGAGGGACAGGGACGACGTCACGACGACTCCCCTCACAGTGCAGCTCCTGATCACAAGAAGAGTGCCCCAGCCTCCTCACAATGACCGCCTCAACTGCTCTGAGCCTCAACATCGGATTTTTGAATATCTGTAGCCTGCGCTACAAGCTGCATGCACTGGACAGCCTTGCCCACCACTGCACCAGCACAACTGGGACGTCGTTGGCGTTGCCGAGACCTGGCTGGATAGTACCATCTCGGATGGCGAAATTTGTATTCCTGGCTACAGACTCAGTGTTGTTCGCTGTGACCGGCCCGATCGCGCCAGGGTGGGGGCACATGCCTCTACTACAAGACATCACTCCCAGTTACCGATCGTTCGGATCTGCATAATAGCCACCTGGAGGCTACCTAGCTATTGGCGGAGGGCAACACCGGCACCTCGTTGGCTGCCTCTATCGCCCACCAAATGCAACTGCTGATTTCTGGGGCCACCTGGACACAGACTGTCAGTCCTCCACAATGCTGCCACGAATAGCTTCAGACAGGCAAGTGACATTCTGAGGCAACCAGGGTTGCGGAGACCATGGTTACGGCTGCATGCGGCCGACCTCGATATGGCCTCTCAAGCAAGCGATGGCTGAACGAATCAGGGCGGTACTGTCACTGAGCCGGCACCTGACGTAGGCCATCATGCATCAGGCATCATGACAGAGAAGGGCTCTTTCCGCTTAGTACTTAGTACTAGTACAGTAGTATTCTTTTTTTATAGTGGAGAAACCAAAACAGGCAGATGCCTAATGGACCCACTGTGTAGCTTCTCACTGAGCATCGCTGCAAGCCGTTTGTAGAAAGCACTGGCTGCCTTCCCCTGCCCTCCAATGGCACTGAATACAAGGAGAACAAAAACAGCGTGCTCCACCTCTCGCACTCTCTCCTCATAGTGTCGGCGCTTCTCTCCTTCATGTTTGGCGTAGGTAGCAGAGAGGGCCTAGGGAGTGAGCCAGGTTTGACTTTGAGCTAGCCAAAGCAATGAAAGGGTTGAAACCTGTCCCTCCCATGCTTCTCCGTCTTGACCATTACTTTTCTTCTTTTCTTCTTTTATTCACCATGGTTGGTTAACACCCACATCTCCCGTACTGGCTGATTTTCTTTTCATGCCATGACAGGCATGAGGTGTTGTCTATAATAATAATTAATAATTATAATAAAACCCCCACGAAGTAGTGGCAGTGTCTGCTCCAGCGCCGGGTGAGCCGGGTAATCCACCCGGTTGGGCGGCGCTTGGACCCGGTTGAAAATATAGTACCGGGTCACCTGTGACCCGGTTGGTACTTAACACTTTCGAACTTTGAAATGACTGACTACATGGCTTGTATGTGTCAGATACTAAGTTCTTCTTTCGTAATTTTCTAATTCCTGTCCTCTCTTTTCTAAGTGCGGCTTATCCATTCGCCTTTATATCATTGGGCCTAGTTCCCGTTTATTGTCCGAATTAAAATAAACCAACCAACCAGTTAAATGTGACTCGACTGGTGAGACAGCGCCAGGTACATGTGTACCCGGCTCCTACCCGGTTGAAATGGTTGCGCCAGGTACACGTGTACCCGGTTGTCCTACAATCCTAGAGCAGACACTGAGTGGTTGCGACTTCGGCGATGATTTGTAAGAAAGGGTTTGCTCCCCACACCGGAGCTCGTGCTATTCCGCCGACGTTACTTGACACTTGACTGACTCACGACTGCCATCCAGAGCACACGAGAAGTCCATCGAACCTTCGACTCGGCAAACCTGCAAGAAAGCACCACTCCCTGCTCAATACACAGTGTTTCGGGGAATTCACCCCTCATCAGTTGAGCTTGAGTAGGCTGAGGAAGGTTGTGCCTGAAGAGCACCACTTATATAGTGCTCTCCAGGCACAAACATCACCAGGGATACAAACTTACTTGTACTTACTCACTGACCCACGCTGCTATCTGGTGTTCACGAGGTGTTTGTCGCGCTGGAAACGGAGCGTCTCTGTAAGTTTGTATCCCTGGTGATGTTTGTGCCTGGAGAGCACTATATAAGTGGTGCTCTTCAAGCACAATCTTCCTCAGCCTACTCAAGCTCAACTGATGAGGGGTGAATTCCCCGAAACAGGGAGTGGTGCTTTCTTGCAGGTTTGCCGAGTCGAAGGACTTCTCGTGTGCTCTGGATGGCAGTCGTGAGTCAGTCAAGTGTCAAGTAACGTCGGCGGAATAGCGCGAGCTCCGGTGTGGGGAGCAAACCCTTTCTTAAAACCCGCACATCGAAAAAGGTTCGCTCAAACCGGCCACCCCACACTCCGCTAGCATAGCCGCTACATCCACTCCAGACGAGCGCCATCCACTCGGATCGCAGTGCGATGGTGGAATCTCTCCCGAGTCCCGATCGAGTCCCCTGCCATCGCAGTGCCATGGCCCATCACTGCCGCTCATCACTGACATCAGGGGCGACGTAGTACTAGTACTACACGTCACGTAGACACGTAGACCCGGGTGCTCGAATCAGAAACGATTTGAGAGGCGTGCAATTTCTCATCTGTAAATCTCTACAATGTCAGAATATACTTTCGGAGAGGCGATGGAACAAGGAAGAGAGTCTGGCTTGACCCACCTAGCAGGAATTCAGAACCTGGGTGCGCTACAACACACGCTACAGCACGCAGTAAAATAGTCGTATTTCCTTCGGATTTTTTACTTGAAAATTGGGTGCTCGAATCAGAAACAGCAAACTCGTCAGATCGTCTCCGATTCAAGCACACGGGTCTACCATCGTCTACGCTTGGTATGGCAGTTGAGGGCAAGGAGTAGTAACTTACTACTTCGTTTTTGAGAGCAAGATGGTCAGTGAGTATTTCAAAAACCGTTTACCGGGCAGAGCTGAAATTTGGCATACCGTTAGCGGGCCGTATGATTACCATTATGTTGATGGTATTTGTGAAAACTAAACGAAATCGGAATAAGTTTAGGTACAATTTCAGGCTGTTTCTGTTTTGGTACCCTGTCTCTCATTCAAGCACCCGGGTCTACTGTGACGTACACCATCGACCAGATGATCATTCGTCATCATGGTCATGGTGATGTCATGTATGTAATTCAAATCCTCGAACAAGGCAAGGTTGTTGAAGATGAAGCAAGGAAAGCCTTTGATGTCAATGATGATCAGACCGAACAAGGCTTTGTGATTATTTTGTTGCTTTTTGTGAAATCAGTTTTGTGCGTCCTTTCCTACTGCTTTGCCTTCATTATGAAACCCCGCTTGGACAAGTTGGAGTAGAGTCGAGCATCCATCCCTTGCACAGCAGCTGAGACGGTGTTGGTGACAAATGGTTATCATGGTTATGGGCCATTCAGTCTCACTCAAGTGAATTAGATGTGCATGTGCAACGTGTAGTTGGAAACAATAGAGGTATGAGCAGTGATTCACAAATCCTCCCCTCCTCGGAGAGGGAGGACGACCCTACTGGATCGGTGGTGCACCTATCTGAGCTCTCCACTGACCTGCAGAACCTGCGTTTGTCTGATTCCTTGGCGGATGCAGTACTTATCGTTGAGAAGAAGCGATTTCCTGTTCATCGAGTGGTCTTGGCTGCTCGGTGTGAATATTTTCGAGCCCTCTTTTATGGTGGAATGCTCGAGTCTGCGCGCGATCCGTCGAATGAAGTAGAGCTGAAGGAAACTCCGTCTGAAGCATTCTCTCATTTGCTTTGTTATGTCTATGAAGGACAAATCCAGTTGTCTTCACTTAGCAGCCAGGTAAGCTTGTAGCGCTACATAGATTGATAATTTTATGAGCTATGTTGAACTAGTAGCAAAGCTGAGTTTATTTCAGTGAATGTTGTGGTCAATAAAGCAATAATGGGGAACAATTTTTACATGATTTTATAGCCCAAGATAAGTCTGCTTGTCATCGCTGTCGTTGGGTCCCCTCCTGATAAGCCCACCTTTGGGGCAGTCAAGGCCATGCTGGATAAAGAAAGGCTTCCCGCAAGCATCAAGTTGGCAGTTGCGCAGATAAATCGAGCGGTCGCTGGCCGTAGCGGATGGCAAGCTGGTTACTGAGTTCCGCACTAGAGTGCTTTCAGAGATTGTTTCAGTTCACGTACAAGTGGCATGAATCTCAATGTGCTCAACCATGTGCACTGTAGCTTAGTTCTTAGTTTGTCACTTTACTGTGTGTGCATGCGTCCACGCATTCTACATGTAGTGAAGAATAATGTGTGTTTACTTGCTTGGTCGCAGACACTGCTGGAACTTGTGGCTCTGGCAAACCAGTTCAATCTGCCACCGCTGCAAACCGCTGTGTGTGACTATTTGGTGTCCAACTTGACGGTGAGTAATGCCTGCTCCACGCTGGACATGGCCATCTTCTTTGGACTGAAGCATGTACGCGAGAGCTGCTCGGCATACATCGATAGGAATGCTGAGAACATACTGAAGACTTCTGGGCTATTTCAGCTATCTAAAGAAGCACTGGTGGAGATGCTGCAGCGTGATTCGTTCTTCGCGCCCGAGATTGACATCTTCAAGGCAGTAGCAGAGTGGTGCAAAGCCAACAGTGAATCCGCGTTACCATCGGTGGAGGTGAGTGAGAAATCAGCTAGCTCCTGTACTGGGTGCTATGAGGATGTTCTCGGTCACGTTCGACTGCCGCTAATCAGCATCAGTGACTTGTTTGGTGCAGTCCGTGCCAGCAAGCTCTTCAGTGACACCTTCCTACTGGACAGCATCGAGAAGAGGTTGGCGAACGATGTCGCCAAGCCTCACTGCCGTGGAAGAATGGGTATGTCTTGCTGTGCTGTTTTTCTCTGTAGATGCTGTGCAAGGGATGTGGAAAAAAATTAAGCAATGTGACTCAATGTAGTGGTGAAACGAATATCAAAACCCAGTAGCCGAATATTCTTTGGCTTAACGAACGAACGAATGAATATTCTTTCGTTAAGACGGATGACATCACATGCCCTCCTCTCATTCATATTTTTGGACATTGTCTCTATTTTTAGGCATGACAAACGAAGGCACATATTTCTCCATCATTTCTAGGTCAATTTTCACAAAATCCCAGCTGAAGTGCATTTCACAGGCTCAAAAACATCTTGAGACGTGATTTTTCGTTCAAGCGTCATAACTCCACTCCTGGACCTCGGATTGTGTTCGGGTTGATTCTAGATGACAGCTGAGAGTTTTCTAATGCCGATAGACCTTTCGATGAAGCAATTCGGTCAAGACTTCGCGAAGTTACGAAAGTTTGAAGTCGCCCGGTAAACTCTGCATACCGGGTTAATGAATATTCGCCATGAGAAATATTTGTTCGAATGTGCCAAACCGAACGAATATTCGAATATTCGGTATATTCGTTTCACCACTAATGTTTACTTACTCAAATCTCAAAGTATGCACCTGTGCATTTGAATAGTCCCAGTGGCTTTTGTAGCCCTGTTTGTTTGTTTTTTACACTGACTGCAAGCCACGTTTGCACGTAAAAGAACCTCTTTATCACATGAAAGCTGTTCTGGGATAAGTGTGTGCACTACAATTGCAATGGGATTACAATATGTTTAGGTGCATTGGCGTAAGTCAGTGCAAGCGAAGATTTAAGTTGCCCAAGAGGAGAGCGGGCCTGTGACCCTACGCATGAGCACGAGAAGCAGCACACCGGGTTACGCTGTTGTCGGATTCGACTATGCCAGCCTGTTGTCATTTCAGTATTGTACTCATTCCTTCTACTGTGTTGTATATGTCTGTTTCCACTCTACAGTTCCCAACAAGTGGCTTATTAACACTAGCTGTACGGCGATCAGTGGAAAGAATGCTGCTCTGTTGCTGTCGGATATCAACTATGCAACGTCTGAGATTCCCATGCATCGCTTTCCAGCTGACTCGGAGGCGGACTCTGCTGCAGGCATTACAGTCTGTCTGCCATGCCCGCATGTTATCAACCTGGTCACTCTGCAACTATCAGCCAAGCCGGCGCACTTCTCAAGCTACCGCGTGTTCGTGGGCCTGGACTCCAACGACAAAGAGCAGCCGGTTGTCTATCGGCAGCTGTTTGATTACTCGCGCTACCACTGCCGAGCGCACCAACACCTGCATTTTGAACCCTGTGTTGCACGGTAGGTCGTGTAGTGAACTGTCGGCAGTGGTGATCCTGTACCGCCACTGCCTGTGATGCAAGTGCGCACTATGCGGCCAGAGGTCAAACCCCTCTGGCCATGTCTTTGGTGGATAGTGAGTACATATTGTTGCTTTATAACTTGTTTGTGCCAAGGGGCCTTCCCTCAAATGCTGACTGTTTAAAGTTTTGCTTGGTCTGCTTTTTGTTTTGTTTTTGTTAGGTATATCCGTGTAGTTGGGATGTCCGCATCGTACTCACAGCGCGATTTTCAGCTGCTCAAGTTAGATGCTATGTACACGACAAAGTTGGTGCCGTTCTGCGATGGATTGAAAGGTATGTCTAGAACTAGTGCTAATACTTCGAAGTACTTGTTTGGTCTCTGCATATCATTTCAAGCACCACGTCTTTCTTAGAAACCCATATCTAGCGAGAATAGTCTACAGTCAATGGCACTAGTAATGTCAAGCATCTGTCGTGTGTTTTTTCTTCATTTTCTAGCATTGACTCAGATGGAGAGCCAAGGTTTAATTTATACAAAAGAGAAAGACCAAGGAACTACAAGTTACGCTATACTGTCCACTAACACCACCAGTTGCTAAACAATCAGCTCATGCGATAACATTGCACAACACTGACCGACGGTACTGACGTTCTACAACTAACTGGCTAACAGCTCTAGCACATCTTGGATGCGCACTCCAACAGCCTTCCAACTTGGCAGGTTCTAAGTTATAGAAATAACATAAGGAGGGGAAGGTTGGAAGGTTGGAAGGCTGTTGGAGTGCGCATCCAAGATGTGTTAGAGCTGTTAGCCAGTTAGTTGTAGAACGTCAGTACCGTCGGTCAGTGTCGTGCAATGTTATCGCATGAGCTGATTGTTAAGCAACTGGTGGTGTTTAATAATAGTGGACAGTATAGCGTAAGTTGTAGTTCCTTGGTCTTTTGTATAAATTTTCTGGCATTGTTTGATTTTCTGTCTTGTGATTCACTGCTTGTAACCGAAGTTCCTGAGGAGAATGTTGCTCACATCCACAAGGACGCCATTGTGTTGGAAGGCGTAAGCCGAATAAGGAATTCCGTGATCGACGGCCAGTATCACGATTTCAACTGGGACGCTGGTTACACGTGCCACCAGATCGAGAATGGCTGTATCATCATCGCTCTGGCACAACCAGTCATTGCCACGTCGATGCGGTGAGTTCTGAACACACATTGTTCTGACAGCTAGGCAGCACTTGCCAATGAAATCTGGAAACGGCTTGAGGAGTAGTGCCAGGCGCACCACAGCCTCGTGCTTGTTGTATGCTATACACTGGGCATAGTTCCACAAAGAATTGCCTATAGGCTGTCGAAGTGCCTACGTCACGCTGCCTGAAAACTCGTAGTTACACGTACACGTGTAGTTACAAGGCCAAGTGGTGACAAACAAAAGTCGCGTCACCTGCACTTGTCGTGTTTCCAACGGTCACGGCATCACTTTGACTGGGGCGCGCTGGTGCAGATCGCGATTTCAAATTTTGTATCTCCTCTCTCAAGCCATCGTGCAGTGTTTTCCTGCTGAGTGTTCACCAGCACCTGAGAGATAGGAGCTCTGATTTTCGCTTGCCGCTGGACAAGGAAACGAGCTCAGCCCAGAGTTGGTTGGTCTCAGAACTAAAAGAAATCAGCGATCGCTGCGATAGAAATAACAGAGACACCCATCATTGCTTCTTGGCCGGCGACTACATGTAAAGCCAAACGACAGTACAGGCACAGCAGTGGTCAAGCAAAAATCAGCTACGGCTTCCCCTTCTCTACAAAGCGAAAACTACAAACTCTGCGACAAATAGCAGTTTATTCCCGTAGCTATGCAAAGACGTTACTTCAGTAACGGCTGGCGCTGGCGGTAGCCAGGGTCCACACAGCTTTAATTCTGTGTTTGTTTGTTTGTGCCATCGGCATGCGCCTAGCGCTATCCCGTACCGTACCATACCATCAAAGACAGCTGGCCACAATATTCAAATAGGGCTTTCTAATGCAAGATCATAATGTGAAGCAACTTGGAAGAATTAGTATGTATGCGAAGTGTATCGGGGGATGCATGCAGGGCGATAGTGCATGTTCGAATCCCAGGTTAGGCCATCATTTTTTATATCTATGTTTCGCGTCGTCCGCACGCATACGTTTTGATTTTTTTCGGAAAAAAATCAAAAAATCAAACATGCACAGTGAGTGTACGATCGTGCGAGTCATCAGTGTGGACTGGTTGCAAACGGCGAAGCTGGGATTCAGAATTGGCCTCGAGGCCAGCGTTGATAGATCGTTTGTTCTGCATCTGCGAGCAGAATTCTTTGAGCTTACACCAGACCGCATCGATCGCCTCAAGCTGAGAGGATGCGTCGTTTCGGAGCTCTTTGCACCGCTGCTGAAGGCTGAGTACAATAATCCAGCGAAGCATGGGCACCAACGGTTGCCTCCTCTGTCCAAAGCGAATATTTCCTCTTGCTGATAACTCAGATTTTGTGCTTCGATGTACGATTTTTCTTTCTAATGTACACCATGCACGAGCTATTGACAATAATTAATAGGCTATGTAGTATGTACAGTGCTATACACCTCTGATGAGCCTTTTTTATTATTTTGCAAATTTTTATTTCTTTCCGCCTCTCGCATATGATTCTGGAAGTTGAACTGACGCGAAACATAGATATAAAAATGATGGCCTTATGTCTTGAAAAAGAAAATAGAAGAAATGAATTTTGTTAACATCCCTATGCTTTTTTTGCCTAGGTCATCAAGGTGGTAGACCATGTAGACGGTGTCGTATTACCCTCGAATGCAAAGAGAAAGGTTGATGTAGCCAATCGATGAAAAAAAACAACATTTCCATCAGTTCTAATAACATGCATGATGAGCTAGGTATTATGTAGGCAAAAAAGCATACCGTAGGGCCCTGGCCTGGGCTTCCAAGCTCTCTCCCATACCGTAGGGCCCTGGGCTTCCAAGCTCTCTCCCATACCGTAGGGCCCTGGGCTTCCAAGCTCTCTCGTTTGAAGTATAGTCTCGCTCGCGCGCTCCTCAGTCAAAATGATGCTGTAGCAGTGTTCACTGCATGCTGCTGCCACTGGAAACACGACAAGTGCAGGTGCCGCGACTTTTGTTTGTCACCACTCGGCCAAGTAACTACGCGTTGTCAAGAAGCTGTGACGTCAGACTTCGACGGCCTATTCAGTATTTTGTTGGCCAGTGCTGTAGATGAATGTAGTAGCTGTGGACTTTGAGAGTTGATGCGCAGTACATGCCCGGGAGCGTTGAGCATTGTTGTTTGCCGTGACTTGCACCAACTTTATGCATGGTCGTTCTCTGCTGCTGTTGCTGTGGTGTGATGCAGGCTTCTCTTGTGGGACTGTGATGGACGACAGTATAGCTATTGTGTGGATGTCAGCCTGGACAATGAGAGTTACCATCGTGTCTGTGACAAGACTAAGCACCTCTGCAGGTAGGCCTTGCCTTGCTTTGGTGTGTGCATATCATACAGTGTTGCTGTCCGTGTGGGGAATGCCCGACGTACTGTACAATGCATTGCGGCCTTCTCGGACCAAGGACATTTGACTCCGTGCCCCAATCTCCACAGACCCTGAGATTTGTCAAACAGCAAGCACAATTCATGAGACTAGCACCCACTACTCTCTATTGGCAACAGTACGAAAATATACGCGACATGATGTGCAAATTGTCATGATCATATGTAGACGTTCATTCAATCCAGATGGATGCTGCTTGATTAAACTAATGCTAAGCCTTGTACAGTTGCGCTCGGTGAAATTCAACTCAAGGTGCATATTTGGCACCCTATACGTGCACTGCCCTTGACGCCCTGGAAGTGGTACAATGCAGCTGGATGTACATGTACACCTACATTCACAAATACAGTGATGTAATTGTGTGTGGTGTAGAACAACGCGTATTGCCAATCTGTCCGTATCATAATACTCTCGCAACTCAGTATAACAGGAAAGGTGTATGTCCCCCCCCCCCCCACCGGAGCTCGCGCTTTTCCGCCGACTTGACTGGACACTTGACTGACTCACAACTGCCATCCAGAGCACACGAGAAGTCCATCGAACATTCGACTCGGCACACCTGCAAGAAAGCATCACCCCCTGCTCAACACACAGTGTTTCGGGAGTTTTCCCCCTCATCCGTTGAGCTTGAGTAGGCTGAAGAAGATTGTGTCTCAAGAGCAACACTTATAATTATAGTGCTCTCCAGGCCAAACCATCACCAGGGATACAAACTTACAGAGACGCTCCGCTTCCAGCGCGACAAACACCTCATGAACACCAGATAGTAGTGAGTCAGTGTCCAACTGGATGGTGAGAACACCATCTCGTGCTAAGTATACCGTATTATCTCTAATATAAGCACAGTCTCCAATAATAGCACGTCTCCAATAATAGAACACCTTGGGGCGGCATTCAAAAAATAAAGTGCTCAGTCTCCATTATAAGCACACTGTGTAAATTCATTATCTGTACCGGCGAAAAAAACCCTGAAATGTGTGTGTCTGACATGAATTTGGCATGGCAACAAGCCTCTGAAATGAGGTTGAAATAATAGTGGAACAGTCTCCAATAAAGGAACGTCTCCAATAATAGCACGGGGCGGAGGTAGATTGAAAAAATAAAGGACCATGCTTATATTAGAGATAATACGCTAACAGTGATGTATATTGATTCTCTGCTGCAGGTCATGGCAAACGATTCGCTTTGACTCTCAGCGATTCTCCTATATCAAACTTATCGGCACCTACAACTCTGAAAACGAGGTAGGCATGAAGCGTACTCTTCAATAGGTGTTGCTACCTCATGTACTAGTACAATGTCATGTACCGTAAAGTACCGCCAGAGCGCCCCGCTATCTCATCCTTTCGTGGCCATCTTGTGGAGGTGATTTCCTGTCTGAAGGTCATACGACACGGACCTTGTACACACATTGCACGTGGTGCAGTCAATCCGTATCCAGTTTACTCTAATTTCAGAAATTTTTGATGCTTAATATTTTCGGCGTGAGGGCAAAAGGCCGGGTTAAGTGAACAGAAAATTTAGGTACAGAGAAGCAGTCCCTTATTGGAATATGTGTGTTAGTATTCGCTCGGTGTATTAAAATTTTAGGTACGGAACAGATACACCGAAAGTACCGAAAATTAAAGTAAACCGAAAATTTGTGAAATTACAGTACCTTCGAGCGGCTGCGAGCTCCACATAAAAACATCCCAAGTGTGACCTTAGTACACTAAGGTTCTCACCCCGTACAATTTTCTTCCCTTGGCTGTAAAATCAAGGTGGGGCGCTCTGGCGGTACTTTACGGTATTAGCAAGAGTACATGAAACCCAGAGTGTGCAGCTTGGGGCTTTTTCTGCTATGGGTCACGGCGGAATTCCGGGATTACATCATGTTTTGTGCAGACTTGAGGCGGGAAGTGACGTAGCGGGTGCAACTCAGCTGCAGTTGTGCAGAAAGAGACCCGCTTGAATCCTGCTTGTACGCACTACATCACTAAAATGATGTAATCACGGAATTTCGCCATGGCAGCAACCCATCAGAGCTGCACACTCTGGATTTCATGTTCGCTTGGTATTAGTCCTGAGGACCAGAATGGGTAGGTCATGCTTCGTGACCAATGTGATGCAGCATTCCTTGGTGGAATATGTAAGCAGTGTGTTTACACCACACTGGGAATCGGGTCGATTCTGGACAACGACACATGTTTTTACATTCTTCAACATTCTGTTTTGGACGTGACGTTCTGAAAGTAAGTTCTCCTGAAGATAGAGTACTGCTTTGACACATGTAGTCCTCTAAAGCTTGTAGATTGAGTGCCATCTTGCTCTTTTCTTTGTACTCAACTTCGTTTTATTTTCATTCCTGCTTATTCTGCTTGTTGCAGGTTCCCCTTTTTCTCCAGACCCAGAAAATTTAGGGTTATTAGGGAGGTTTCCCTCTACGTAATTACGTATGAAAATCCGTATGTCGTACGCGCCGGGGAGCGAGGACAGCTTTCATACGTAAATCTCTCTACGGATTTCCGTAGGAAAGCTCTTTCCTACGTTGGGTCCTCCGTAGGACTTTTTGAAATATTTTTTCGCATTTGTCCATGGCAACGTTCAAGCCGCACGAAACACAAGGTACACACACCGTACTAGAGGCGACGGTTCGATACGGGAACGGCTTGACAGCCAAATTTGTATAGACCCAAACCGATCATCAACGTTGATTTTTCACTCGAAATATGTTTGTGGAAGGAAACTGGCATGTTGAAGTTTGCTCTGGGGCCAGAGTCAATCGAACTGAGCCACTCCTTTGTGTTGACCCATTGCCTCCAAGTTGCCCAATTTTTCGCTTCAAAAAAGTTCAAATCAGAGGTGGCTCCAAACCGGACACGTTTTAGAGTGCACGTCAAATTCACTCTGGGTCTGAAATTAGGTAATTGCTATCGCTCCACGATGGCCAGTACAGAGTAACAATAAGCCTTGTGTGTGCTTCCATTAGTTTTGATTGGTATGCGGTGCTTTATTGGCGAGAGGCGAGCCGCTGTTTACCTGTGACAAGAAGTTGATTTTTCGAAAGTCGTAAAACTCAAGTCGCAGTGCGAAGCAACACGTCAAAAACTCACCTGCTTGTTATGGCGTTTCTGGTCATCGCAGAGCCATGAAATTTTGGCTCGGAGTATAACACATCGTAGTCTCACTGTGACATATGTTTTCTAATAAAAATACCAAGAGAGAAAGTGAATATTGAGTCCGTTCCGGTTTGCAACCTGTGTCCTATTTGAAACCGTCGCGTCTACACCACGTGCAAAATAAGATGGAAAACGCGGTTTCGGTTCATGGTGCATGCGGTGGGCGCATGCAGCCAACGCGTCTCCAAAGCAATAACGCATGTTTAGCAGTCGTGGATAAATCACGTAGAGCGAAACCCAGCTGCTCTGATTTTTACGTATGAAAATTCCGTGCAGTTCCTACGTTATTTTCATACGTAATTCCGTAGAGCGAAACCTCCCTAATATTAGTGGTGTGCACGGGTAGTCGGGTACCCGTGCTACCCGTGAGGACCTCGGGTAGACGGGTACAGAATAGTACCCGAAAGCCCGAAGTCCCAGATGACATCATGTACAGTGCACGTGTACAAATTCATGTAACACTCCGCATGTCTACCCAGTGTGCAAGGGAAGGGGCGCACTGTGGTGTTACCATGGAAACATTGCCCGATCGGGTACCCGTGCTACCCGTGGAAAACTATCCGCATCCCGATACCCGAAGAAAATGCTACCTGACTCAGCCCTACATATTATTCGGCATGTTCCATCCAATGTTGTAACTTGCAGGTTCACATGCTTTGTCCACATTAGGATGCCTGGAATGTAAACGATTCTGGGAATCCCTCCCGTAAGAATATACACATGACGTGTGTGCGTGCATGTGTGTGTGTGTGTGTGTGTGTGTGTGTGTATGTGTGCACACATTTTCTTTGCAGGTATTCCACTGTGTGCACTTTGAATGCCCGGCAAGTCCCAGCACCAACGCTCTGGCCGTAGCCAGTGCCGAGGCTAAACCAGACGTCTTAAAATCCCAATCTGTGGCCAATGAACAGCAAGCGGAGCAACTTATGGACAGCACGGGGCCATAACCACGTCAGCTAATATCTGCTGGCATGGTGGATACATTGAGCGGATGTACCGGTGCTGCTCGGGTAATTATGGCTGTGTGCTGCAAACGTTTCAAAAAGCCAATGTAGTGGAAGCTGGCTCTCTCCTTATAGTGCACTGTCGATATAATTATGCCGGGAGATCTTAGTTGCTTCTTCTTTCTTTTTTAAGTAGTTTTGCGTAGTGCATAGAGCATTAGGTTTAGTCCCAGGGGGAGACATTATGTAGATATGGTGCATGTAGGCGAGTAGTGTAATAATTAGATTTTCTCGTGCGCAGCATACAGGAGCAGTGCCTTCTTCAGCTCGTGCTTATTCTCACTTCGCACGGCGCGGCCAACATTGATGCTGTCCATCTCTGCCTGGCTGTAGGATAGCACTCACGAGGACTTGATTCACTACCGGTCGTCAGAAAAGATCTTGATATTGGTCGGGCACAACGACGAAGAAATTTGTTTAAATCTGCTTTGTTCCTTTTCTTCACACTGCTTTGTTCTGCTATATATATGATGGAACTGTCCGAACATGACAACACATAAAGGGCCTTAATATCTTATTATTGTAACATAGATTAATTACCAGCCGCGACCACTGACAATTACGGTATTGCCGGTACATGTACCGTATTTTCCCCAATAAATGTACAGTGCTTTTATTTTTTCAAAGGTGGTCAAACCTGTACTAGTATTGGAGACGTGTACTTTTATTGTTTCTGGAAAGATTGATTGCCTGGGTTGGGTGGCAAACAACTCGTGATAATGATGCTGTAAGGCTGTAAATACACCCAACCATGGTAAGAATCATTGTACAAAGACACAAAGATGATGAACGGGTAAGAAAAACGAAGTAAGGTGGACCCTGGTATCTGTACCCCACTGATGCCCGTCACGTACTATTAATAGAGACGTGTCTTTATATTTTCGATCCACACCCAACATGTACTACAATTGGGGACGTACTAGTAATGGAGACGTGTACGTTTAATGGGGAAAATACGGTATGTCAGTTTTTTAAACTTTTTTTAAAGTCTGTACATACGGGAACACTTTATTTTCAGCTATTTTCGCAAATCTTCATTCTTTGTTTTGCTTTGATCTGAAGTCACGATATCGATAGTCGTCTTCATTTGGGATTATCATCTATATTATCTCCTTGCAGTCGTAAACAAGAAGGTAGCTTTCGTCATGTCTTGCTCAGAAGTGTGACTGTCATTTGTCAAGATACTCTCAGCTCTCTCTCTCTCTCCTCTCTCTCTCTCAAACATGCTCGCACGCACACACACACACGGAGTACAAGGAACCACACTGAACTAAGATGTACAGTACCTCAAAGTCCAAAATATCAAGATACTCAAACAGGATTAAAAAAGAAAGAAATGGCATAGCACCATGCTGCGTTGCCCTGTATAGTACATGTACTTCGAAGTACAATTGAAATCCTGAAAATGCTTTGAAATAGTTAGTTGTGTCTATATACAGATGCAGCAATACAATGCAAAAGAAACCTCCCAAGCATACCACTCCAAGCTGCAAAACACACAGCAAAGTGTTTTTACCATGACGGTGTGACATACTTGCCCAAACGGCGGCCATCCTTCATGACACTAAGCATGCGCGGATGTATTCTTTGACGGAACGCTGGCTCACTGCCGTCCCAGTATTCCTTCGGCGGTGGACTCAATTCAGACTCCTCAAACCCTGCATCCTTCAGCTTGGCAATGACATCTCTTTTATGCAATGCCGCAGGTGTGTCTGCTTTGGGGATTGATGCAAGGATGAGCAGCTCATCCGGGTCCAGACCTTTGTCAAGGATTGACTCTCTCCACGTGTCCAGTTCCTGTTTCTCCTGTGTTTTCATGTGTTCCTGCGCCTCCTTCATGTACGGTGCTACGACAGCCATGTGTTGTCGCGGTGGCTCAAGTCCTGCCTGTACGACGAAGATAACAATAGTTACAACAACAACACTTACAACAACAACAAAAACAACATACACTCACACAATGCCAGCTAAACTGCTCAGGAACCAAATCTAATGTTTGCTACAGAATCCACATCAGTATCATTATAAGCGCAAATAGTGAACAGCCAAAGTATATGACTTTCAAAGGTGTGCAGCTCCTGATGGTCGGCTCTCACGCCTCGTTTTCAGAATTACTACGACACTACCATAATGTAAGCAGCTCTATGTATAGAGTGTATCCATAGATCATTATGAGACCTGAGCCTCTGAGGTCAACTGCGCACAGCTGCACACAGTGTAGTTTTTGTGCAGTCAGGAGAAGTGACGCAATTCTGAACATGAGCGGTGACAGATTTATGTGGAGTTGAGCATGGCCACTTTTGAAACTCGCACTGCCTGCACAAACTAGGATGTGGGGTACCACGATGCAGTTTGAGGCAGTTGAAAAGGGATTGTCTTCTTATGAGCTACATGTACACACTCTCTCTCTCTCTCTCTCTCTCTCTCTCTCTCTCTCTCTCTCTCTCTCTCTCTCTCTCTCTCTCTCTCTCTCTCTCACACACACACACACACACACACACACACACACACTCTCTCTCTCTCTCTCTCTCTCTCTATCCAGTGTACTTACAAACGCGAGTATGTCATGAATAGCTGGTGTTGCCCGTGCACCTTCAGACAACCAATATCTGTGTACACACACACCACACCACACCACACATGCACAATGGCATGTGTGCAAAGGAAGAGAAGAGTAGATGTGAATAATTTTTAAACCTACAGGACAACATAATTATGTTGTTTGTGAGTCTCACTAAAGAGAAAAGGCAAGCAGAACACAACTGGCCATGGGTACGGTATACACATGAATACTGTTGGCTGAAACATCAAGGTCATTCTCACAGGCTACCCAGCATTTCAGACTGTTTTCTGAAATAGTTTTCTTCGCACCAGATAGCAATGCCAGGCTGCGTGTGCAGATTAGCATGTCACAAATGAAAAGCGGTCACAATTAGAATTCTATTCACACTTTCGTGGCTTGGCAGCAGCATCAGGGTGTGATGCGACAGGAGTTTTCCAGCGAGTTACACCCAGTGACCCAGTGATGTCAGTCGAGACAGACTAGCTGTCCTGATGAGAGCGAGTGACCCCAAGTGTACAGGGTGGTATGTGTGTGCTACAATGCCTAGCTACTGCCCTGCTCAGCTTCTAGCTAAGGCAGTTGAACAAAGGCTCAAAACTCACAACTTCACAAGCGCAGCAACCAAATCCACCACACGCTCAAAACAGTGATTGATGTGGATGATGTGGAAGCTGACTCATAGAACGCTTCACTTAACTTTTAGCCTGCTCATGATCAGATTAGGACCCACACATAACGAGCAGGCAAACTTCTGCACTGACATTGCAGACAACTTGCCTTGCAGCATACGCAGTGGAAATACAGTCAGACCTCGCTTAACCGCACACATCTGTTTTCCACAAAAATATCCGGATAGGCGAGGTAACCGGATAACTGAACGCACATACTGTACATGCATGTGGCATGTCAAAAGCAGTGACATCATACATACATGTACATGTAGACAGGTCCTATGCAGTACAACTAGCATTATGTAAAACAAGCGAGAAAATGACAAGTGCATGCAACTGAGTGCTGTCCGCACACACCCAGCAGGTCAAGGACCTCATTTGCTTGTACAACTCCTTGATACTAGCTTCTGCAAGCGCTAGCCAGCCACATGCAACCGGATACGACGAAGCATTTTGTACACATTTTAACCAGTTTGTACACAAAATCATGCACCGGTATGCGGATCGCGAGGTCCGGTTATGTTGTATGCATAACATATGCTGCACATCGGTAACCAGCGATTTTCTTCCGGATGGCGAGGGATCCGGATAAACGAGGACCGGATAAACGAGGTCTGACTGTATAACAAACCACTATGAACAAAAGGATACAACTTACTTGACCCGACTAAATTTCAACGACACAAGTTTCTCCCCATGGACATTGATGAGGGGATCGTAAGAACCGAGCTGAAGATTAGTCAAAGTACAAGACAGGCATACTGGTAAAGATACAAGGTGGCACACACACACACATGCACACACGCACGCACATGCACACACACACACAGTGACACCAAGAGTACATAACCCCAAGAGTGTGCAACTGCCTGCACAACCTCTATGCTGTGCTGCGACGGCAGAACTTCACATCACGTGACATGGTTCAAAAGGTTATGCTGGCAAACAGTGCAAAGTGACCACAAGAGAGTTGTACCCAAAGCTGGGCTGCGTACAACCCTGTATCTATCATGCACAGAGTGCAAATAATGTGTACGGGTTCATCACGTGATGTTAAGTTCTGCCGTCGCAGACCCCATAGCTGGAGTTGCACACTCTTGGGTTATGTACTCTTGGTGACACCAAGAGTGCATAAACAAGAGTATGCAACTGTGGATATCAGTGGTTATGGGCCAGTGCGCGGCGCGCTGCCTTCATTACGTAACTTTCCTTCATCACGCTCTGAAAGCATGCATTCAAACTCACTATTTCTCGTACGAGCCCATCCGTTTTTGCTCGATTCGTTCCAGTACCTACGCGATCTCTAAATTCTGGCGCGTGAACTCCAGTTCCGTACGAAAGTTCATTTCAAACCAGAGGGAAATTGCGGTGTTTGATTTTCCGCAGTGCGCGGACTGCAGCTGCATGATGTAATGAAGGCAGCGCGCCGCGCATCTGGCCCATAGAAAAGAGATCACAGTTGCATACTCTTGTTTATGGACTCTTGGTGACACCTACAAGCGATGCAGTACGGCCTGCTACAATTTCACCCAGAGATAAGTCCCACTCTTAACACAAATGATCATACCGCTCTCACGTACACGTGCTAGTAACTGCAGTGCTGCAGACAGCCTAGCCATGCATAGACCAGTCAGGATGTTACACTGACTGTACCGGATAGTTTGGATCGAGATATACCAGTGTTCATGATCACCAACAATAGATGTACTCCACTGTCCGACAACACTCACAAAGGCAAATTGAAAACCTAGGATTGGGAGGGTGTAAAATACTTCCACAAGTAGTCTCATTTACTTTTATATCTTGCAATTGTGTGCCTTCAAAGAATCAACAATTATGAATATGCTACTACACACAGAATGTACTGAACGGTGGCCATGACATATTCCAACACATGGTAATTCTTCTTCAAGGCATGCAACAAAAGATCTGCATGTCACCAGTTCAATCTGAGATAGGAGATAGGTGTCCTGAAGCGCTGTAGCCCCACGTTCATCCAATACGGGATCGTGATAGGGACCGAGTAAACAGCAATGGATAGTCAGCGGAATGGAGTTATACAGAACGCCTCGCAAGCTCCTAATCCACCTATTGAAATAAGGAAGTGTTTTGCTGTGATGTGCAACACAAAACAATACATGCTGGTCCACAACTATTACCTGCTCAACAAATTTCGCTTTGCGTTTCGAGTGTATTCTTGAAGCGGCAATAATAAAAAACGGGCGATTCGTACATCCGAAAAGTTGCAGGGAAATCCTCATACTATGTTGGTGAGGCATCTTTCAAGCGAGCTAATGGGAGGAGATCCTCCCTCACGTTGTAAAGCTTAGAATTGTCCTTGCCATTATCAAACTACATGAACAAGAAATGTTTTGTGCACTTTTGATTATTTTTTTGTATTTGAAGGGCTTCCACATCTAAACGCCATTCTCTTGTTGCTAGACGACAGTAGCTACAAAAAAGTACTTACAACGTACGCGTAGTTAGTTAGTAACTTTACTTAGTTGTGCTGCGCCTCGTGCGCTGCATTCGCTGGGGACACGCACTGAAAGTCTGATATAGCTGAATGCAGTCCTGGTCATGTCACCGGCCGTAGCGCGCATGGTCCCTCGAGTCCTCGTACTCGCGTACTCGGGTTGTAGCGGCGCGCTGTAGATCTACGCTGTACGCGGTCAGCACGCAGTACGCATAGATCCACGACCCTGAAATCATGCGAACACACAACGTCACCACTGGTCACAAGCAGACAAAACGTCAAAATAAAAGACGTTCGACCTTTGCGGCCGCCTGCATCACTACACCTTCCACATGCACTGACACTCGTACTCGTAGATCTACTCTGAGATCTACAAGATCAGTGCTGGAGTCTGGAGACGAAAAGACAAGTAGCGAAGTTTGTGTGCATTTTCTGTGTGGGTTTTGCTGCAAGTATTTGTAGTAGCCGGCCAAGACTCACTTACGTTCCTAGAGAAATCCCGCATACTAGTTCTTGGGTTCTACCTCACTCCGAACAGCTGGCGGTGAGCTTCTCGCATCCTCCCACGCAGGGGTATTGGACAGGACCTCGCAGCTGTAGTGTTACTAGTACCTCAATGCGCTGGTCGCGGGCCTCAGAGGCCTGTTTTCATCCTATTTCTTGATGGAGACTCCGGAGAAAGACCAGACCGATCGGACTAACCAGAAAGTTAGCCAGTGGTGAGTGGTACTGCCATCGCTGACAAGAACCTCGCGGATGGCCCACGGTTACGAAGATCAATTTATGCTCATTTTTTCCTTTCAGCTTCAGTCGAGGTTTCCTTCCTCCGGAGGTTGCAGGAAGAAAACATTACGGATTTGTCAAGGTACATCCTTTATCTGAAATAAATCTCCTGTTGCAACAATCTTGACTATCCTCAAGTACATGTACAGACATGGAGATTGAAGGTTATCTGAAAAAACTGATTTATCCGAAAGGAGTTTTGAATATTCACCAGCTGATACTCAGATAACTTTGATCTTCGAATCTGAAATTGTGAATAACACCTTAATAATCATAATTATTGTACATGATGTGCAGCACCACAGTGGACAGTCAGTGCTCATGTAGGCGTGGGTATTCCACAGTGCTTCAGTACACTACATGGCTGTGGTGTGCCCAGAGGGAGGGGATGCATGCAGACATGTTGCGCATGTACCTTTCATGAGTGCCATGATTTCCGACTTTCTGTTAATTCGACACTGAGACCGTCCATTAGTCAATCTCCCTACCTGAATGAGATAGGAAACTGGGAATCTGGTGCGCCACAACAAAGGTTTCAGCCTATTAAAACTGGAGCATGTTCACGATGCATTGCTCTTGACCCAGGGTGATATCAAGTGACTAGTATTACCAAGAGTACAAAACCCCCCAGAGTGTGTAACGCCTGATCCAGCTCTGCATAGGGTCGTGGTGGAGCATAGTCGGATCTTCTGATGTCATGTGTACACTCCACACCAGCGCAAGGCCGGTCTCGAGGCAGGGCACCATGTTGTTTGATCCGAGAGTCCCCGCGACTCTCCAGGTTCCCCTCAGATGTGTACAGTAATATGACGCAAAGATCCGATTACGCTCAACCAAGACCCTATGCAGAGCTGGATCAGGCTTTGCACACTCTGGGGGGGGGGGGGGGGGGGTTATGTACTCTTGGTATTATCAACCTTCCCCGCTAGGGGCTTTGTGCATTATTATGCAGGCGAAACCAGTTTATGCGGCAATTATGCGGTAGAATGCGATCACTATGCAAGGGTGTCTAGCTGCCATTGGTTTAGTGTACATTTTCACACACGTATACAATGTACATATTCATGGGAAGATACTTCTTGACGTACATTTTTTTCTGTTCACTGCTCGCGATGTATAAAGTGCAAAATTGTGCATATGGCGGTACAACTGTGTAGTCCATTCTTACCGTCGTGTACCACTTGTACATTGTCATATCCATACAATAAGATGCATTGCGCACGTACTGGCAAAACCATCCATACACGTTACACACATCGCACACACACACACACACGTGCGCGCACACACGCACCCCCCCCCCCCCCCACACACACACACATACATGGGACGCAAATTGTCACATTCAACTTTGTGTGCTCGCTTGTGAAATGGATATTCGGTTTATATTAAAGCCACAGGGTAGATTTCAGGCCATTTTTTCAGCAGGCCAGATAGAACTGAAGTTTTGGTGCACAATAGAGCATGTTATCCTTAGAAACGAGGGCTAGATACTGGAAGAAACTGCTAGCCGACATAGCCCTAATTGTTTTTTTTTTGTTTTTTTCTAATTTTCACCATTTTGTTCTGCTGCAGAGCACATCAGCTAGCAACGATGGCACAGCGAGTCCCTGTCACAAGTACCGAGTGGAAGCTGGTGATTGTGTAAGTGCAACACGTACACTTATGTACATGTGTGGCATGTCGCTGTATGCAGTCAAGCCTCCTCAGCTTGACAGGCCTGTCCGTGCATCAAGAGCTACAATGATAGCTGGCCCACTTGGCGTTTCCTTCTTGGCCAGAGCACTAGCCATCTGGAGGCCATAGAGTATAACCAGTGTTCAAGGCATAGTCATGTCCAGTTGAGTTGTACTGGTGTTTAGCAACGCACTCTTTTAAGAGTGTGTTCCTAAACGCCAGTTCAACTCAACTGGACTAGACGTTAAATTGTCCACATGCAGTGCTGGCATACAGTGCACCGTCTGCTCAGACTAGCAAGTTGATCAAACTGTAGAACCAGCATGGCCCCAAACCACTTCTGTGAACACCGCTATCACCAAGGCCGTGCAATATTCATGTTGTTTATCACTGCTCAGAGGAGCACTCTCGACCTTGCCTTCATAGTTACCTCTTGGGTGGTGGGTTTTTTAACTGATCACCCGATCCCAGCTATCTCATAGGGGGTGACAAAGTCTTGGTAATCATACTACACAATACTAGAAGATACTAGGGCAGTACTTTGCTGTGCTGGAGCCCAAAGTCTGAACTCTCACCCAGTGTCGGTGTGTTCACAGTTCAGTGTGTTATTCCAATGTTCTAGGATCTTTCGTGCTAACAGTATCACATGCATCTATGTCCGCAGCAGTACCTTCGCATATCAGTGTCATCTTGCACCTATTCTGCGTTTGTTAGCACTTATGTTACGTCAAAGCGCTCGACCGCGCTACTTCATTTTCACAGCTATTCTCTTTATAAAGGAGTGCTATTCAGAAATTCTAGTCTTTCAATATCCTTACAACCTTCCACGCATTCGTTGTTTTGTCTTGCTCTTGCCGTGCCTCGCTCACGTTCACTCTTCCCCATGCCGTAGAATATTGTTAATAACAGTTGCTGCGTGTTCTCTTCTATTGACTTCAGGGCACCACGACCGTCGATGGCCTGGAGAATTCCTGGATCTTAGCTCAGATGGAGAACCCGGAGACTGAAACAAGATGGTACTTCAAACATTTCCTTGGAAAAGGTACAGCTTGTAGTGTAATGAGTAGCATCATGACGGAACTCTATCCCTAGGCATAGCATTGTCTGTCTCCTGGTTTCTCCTTCCTACTCCCTACACTCACTCGCATTGATCTAACGTATGTACGTGTGTAAGAACCGCACCCTGTCTGCTGTACCATTGACTCATGCATTCATGTACCGCTGCACTTGCTGGCTGCGCATCACTAACCCTTCCCCTGCTATGGCACAGTCCCCGCACTGAATGCAGTACTCGGGTGCGCGTGCGTATTCATGTCTGAGTGCACTGCCCTCGGGCTCCATCTATACATGGCATCCCGTACTGGGCACGCTGCTTCCGGTCGCTGTTGTGTGCACTCAGCACCGTAGTCTATTCCGCTCTCTGTCTTCTCTACACAGTGATTCCTGTTTGGAATCACTCTTCGTTTCTGCTCTCCTTGTAGTTAGTTGTGCTTTTCCGTGTCCGATAATGTTCCCCCTTTTGCAATAAAGATTCAGGCGAAACTACTCTAAGTAGCTACCGCTACACAGCTGGCCGCTGGCTTGGCGTTTGTTGCTCGATGTGCACAGCGCATTTCCAAAGGAGGGCTAGCAAGGGAAGCTGGGGTTACAGCGATTTTGTCTGATGCATACACGTAATGTGCTAAGTGCAGAAATGTAGTTGGAATGGAGCCAGGCAGGGGTGGGAGATCCAGAGAATATGAACTTGCTTTGACCCTCTATTCATTAGTTTAGTTTTCAGCCTATACATGTACATGTATGTGCACAGTTTCCAGTGTTAGATGTACAACACTCTATGTGTGCAGTGTGCATGCCGCTTTGACATGTGTGATTGATACGGTGCCATGTCTTGTTGCTGCAGTTCACAACTACTATATCGGAGTTGACATCAACAAGGATGCTTTTGTTGTAGCCACATGTTTAGAGAAAACGGCGAGCGAAGAGTTCCTACTGCGCAGTGTCCTGTTTAGAAAAACCGTAAGTGTGATGCTAGTTATGCTGCACTATGGGCCATAGAAAACTATGAAAACCAAATTTGTTGGGGGTGGATGGTCATTTGGTACGTGTGAGTGAGGTATCCCGGTACGATGAACTCCATGTGTCGAACTGTCGACTAAACCACTGTCCTGAAGTCAACTTACTTCGAAGTACAACGGTTGCAGAGCTGCGTCAAAGATTTGCAGATCCTCCTAGCACTTTGCACAGCATGCACACAGAATAGTACCTATGCTACAGTGATGGAAAAGTTTCAGATACAGCACGTGATTGAATAGCAATCATAATCATATCCAGTGGCAGTGTATTTGCAGATTTGAGTGCTTCTCTTGCGACAGGTGTATACATGATACATGGTGTGTGTGTGGGGGGGGGGGGGGGGGGGTGTTGAATGTGTGTCTGTGTGTCGAATGTGTGTATTGTGTGTTGAATGTGTGGGTGTTGTATGTGCGTGTTGTATGTGTGTGTTGAATGTGTGGGTGTTGTATGTGCGTGTTGTATGTGTGTGTTGAATGTGTGGGTGTTGTATGTGCGTGTTGTATGTGTGTGTTGAATGTGTGGGTGTTGTATGTGCGTGTTGTATGTGTGTGTTGAATGTGGGTGTGTTGAATGTGGGTGTTGTATGACTGGATACCTATGCTTTGTTTCCTACAGGGCTGTCTTCGTCTAGCGCTGCGATGCAAGGGTGAAAGACCTTTCCCAGTGAAGATGCTTCTACAGTGAGTGCTCTTACCACCACATGCGCATTTAGGCAGTCGCAACTGCACTCTCCAGGGAGAATGATGCAGTGGAGAACAGGGTCAGGCTGTGAGGCGAGTTATTTTCGCATGCGCAAAACAGCCAGCCGGGTGCATGCACATATGCAATTTCACTTCCACGATGCTGTTCTCCAGGAAATGGCCTAAAGCTATGGCCAGAGTGGGTCCAATTATTACTTCATCCAGAAGTCGTAATTTATTGATTTCTGGTATCATCACGTTCAAGCCCTATAGCCAGTATGGGTTTCTACTTCAAGTATATCCAATGAGAAATACAGACAGGGAACAGAAAGAGGAGGAAATAGGGAATACATGTGTGAGAGAGATAGATTCTATTGCAATCTGTTGTGACTTAAAGTTCCATTCCGAAGCTCTTAGCACTGTCCCATCAGTTCCATGCCGAAGCTCTTAGCACTGTCCCATCAGCTCCATGCCGAAGCTCTTAGCACTGTCCCATCAGTTCCATGCCGAAGCTCTTAGCACTTTCCCATCAGTGGCCACAACCTCCCACTAAGAAAGATAAAGCTGGTGCAATGTGGTAAAGACTAATAAAGGTTTTTTCTTCACAGCAATGAGCTCGGCAGGTATAAACAGACATGACCCATGTCCAGACCTGGTTACATGTGGCGCGAAATGTTGATCTAGTGACGTCAAGACGTGTGACTGTAGAGTTGTTTTGGCTGTCTCATGTGACCTGTGTGTGCATATGTGTGTGTGTGTGTGTGTGTGTGTGTATGTGTGTGTGTGTGTGTGTGTGTGTGTGTGTGTGTATGTGTGTGAAAAAAAAGAAAAAATGGAAAAAATGAAAAATAGGGATTCACTGGCCAGAAAAAGTCACTTCAAACAGCTGTGTGGTGGATACCAGGCTAAAAATAGTGGCGGTCAATTCATCAGCCTTGCAAGCTGTTGAATGGTGTAATCCCAGCACAAGTTGCTATGTCTAACATAGCTGTTCGCTATCATCGCTTCCGCGATGGGCATGTCTGAGGTCTGAGGTATGTGTGTGTATGTGTATGTGTGTGTATGTGTGTGCGTGTATGTGTGTGGTGTATGCGTGCGTGCATGTGTGTATGTGTGTGTGTGCGTGTTCTGCTTTTCTATAGGTCCTTTTCGGTGCAAGCCGTCAAGCACCCAAAACCCATCACCTGTCCCACGTTTCAGAAAGTAAGTCCCGTACATTGTAGTTGCACGAGTCATGGCAGCTTTGATCACTGTATGGAGCTGTGTAGTACTCTTAACCGCACTGTGCTGGAACTGTTCCCCTCTTTGGACGCACATAGGTGCGGATACCTCCCCCAGGTTGCAGCTTACCAGTGTTTTATGTCCGGAACGACAAAGTCCAGTTTGTAGCTTCCGTGATAAATTTAATTCTATGTTGTGTTGGTCATAACAGCTATTCCATGGTGTTCTTTCCTATTTTATCTTGTGCTCTTCCTTTGCCTAATGCAGGAGTTAGTCGTGCTGGAGAACCAAGAGGTAAGATCTGTTTTAGTTGTGAAGTGGGCTTCTGACAAGTTCAACAGGTGTGCGCTTGAACAACATCCACTTCAATGGGGGAAATTGTAATACAGTGACCTGTGTGCAGTTTATTCATTCAATCATCCTCACAACCCATTCTGACGATATGCACACATCATTTCGAGTGATAGTGGCTGATCAGTCCGTGCGGTTCCCCTTTGCTTTCTACGGTCTGCAGGGCTCCAAGAACTTCAAGTTTGGTGTGCTGTACTGTCAGGCACATCAGGTTGAAGATGATGACTTCTTTAGCAACGGTGAGTACATGCACACTGTGATGTGTGCATGCATTTCCTCCATGGTCACGATGCGGCACACCAAATTAATCTTGGGTTTTTTTCTTCTTTTCGAAGACTTGGCTACATCTCATCCCCTGCAAGTCCAAGAGTACATCAAGCATTGGCCAGCGACCACTTCCGAAGCCATGAGCTCGCTCCAGCGTGACTGCAGTGCAATAGTCTAGGCAGGGAGCGGTACTATTCAGCGTCAATGGGGACTCTAAACCTCCTGACTGTCTGCTATGAAATTTTATTTTCTATATTAAAATGATCTATGTGAAGGGAATCTACCAGCACCGACCGTGCCTTTAAAAGTAAGCTTTGGGCTGGGTCCCGGGACTGGGGTGTCTATCCGGTAGCACCGTGATCACAGGATCTGCCTTCGCACCCGAACAACCTCTGTGTTACCAGGCACAGCAGAGATCCTCTCCATTCAGGTGTGTTCTCACCGCAGATGTCGCCGTCGAAAGACAGTGGCACGAAGCACTGCTGTACATGCTGGTTTGCCCAGCATGTACAGCAGTGCATGGCGTATTATTCCTCTGTGTGTGTGTGTGTGTGTGTGTGTGTGTGCGTGTGTGTGTGTGTGTGTGTGTGCGTGCGTGTGTGTGTGTGCGTGTGTGTGTGTGTGCGTGCGTGCGTGCGTGTGTGCGCGCGTTCGTCCATGCGCATCTATGTTTGTTGGATAGGTTCGTATAATATATATTATGATAGTGTGCAACAGTCTGCAGTTGGTATCCAATGTAAGAAACTAACAACGCTGATTACCTTTGTTGTGTTTTCAGAAACGGGCAGCAAGGAATTTGACCAGTTTGTGGAACTCCTCGGTGACAAGGTGGAGCTACTTGGTTTCAAAGATTTTCGGGGTGGCCTTGATGTGCGAAGTGAGTTCATTCTTCAATAGAGCTACTGTGTACAGTCGTGTAATGTTGATTGCTGTGGTGGTCACCTGTGCACTCTTGATGTAGTGTGTGTAAGGTTCACACCACTCTGCCCTCTTCATTGTGTGTTACAGCTGGTACAACGGGCACACATTCAATTCACACCAAGTTCCAGGGTCATGAGGTCATGTTCCATGTGTCGACAATGCTACCATTCTCCAAGCAGAATAAACAGCAGGTGAGTTTGTTTGGTTTTACGCTGTTTGTGTATGCGTATATGAATTCAGTTCATGTGCCCGTGTGTGTGTGTGTGTGTGTGTGTGTGTGTGTGTGTGTGTGTGTGTGTGTGTGTGTGTGTGTGTGTGTGTGTGTGTGTGTGTGTGTGTTTGCTATGACACGATTGTGGGGCTGGTAGAAGTTTTTGTTTACAAACTCGAAACGGGGAAAGGTAAATAATGATAGGCGGAAGAACCACAGTAAAGGAGAGAGAGCGACACTGCATGCGTCGGCTCAACACTGTACAGTTGTGCTCACTGAAATCCGACCCAACGTGCAAAGCTGACGCCCCGGACCAGTTCCCATTACATCATTGCTTGTGTGCATGTGTACATCCAGCCGCATTCGTTCCATTTCCAGGGTGTCAAGGGCCATGGAAGTTGAGGGCGCCAGCTTTGCACATTGGGTCGGATGTTCAGTGAGCGCAATTGTACTTTGACGCTACGGCAGCAGAGCGGCAAATTGACAAGACCAACAACAAAACAGAAAAACACATACATGCAGATAACTTCCTGAACTGGAGAAGCCAAGGGAAGAAAGAAGAGAAGAGAAAGCTGCAGACCCGCGAATAGCTGCCTTAGCAACAGTAAGCGCAGCTGAGTCAGCAGCAACGCCAGGTGTATAGAGCCGCCTAGCACCTCTCAGACACGTTACACTGGACCAGACCAAGGCAAAGCTGATCTGGCACCGGATTGAAGCCATGGCGGCACTGTAAGCCTCTCCGGTCTTGTCGGCGATCAGGGACACTATCCTCTTGTGGAGAAAAGTGGAAGATTTCCCCATGCCTCCTGTAGTGGAGAACACGGCAAGAACAAAGCTGGAGTGTTCCACTTCCCGGATTCGCTGCTCATAGGCACGGCGCTTGGCTTTTTCGTGACAGGTGTAGCTAGCAACAAGTGAGATGAGGCGATTCGAGGACGCAAAAGGGTTTAAAAAACCGGACATCAATGTAGGTGCGCTCGAACCGCCCTCCCCAAATACCGCTAATCACCACGTCAAGGCGGGCTTGATCATCACCCACAGCCATGCGGTAGCGGAGCTGCTCCCCAGTGAGCGGTTGGAGGTGTGGCTCAATAGCCACCTGGTGGCCAACACGCTTTGCAAGGCGAGCTGTCACATCGCGTACCTCGTTGTGGCGGAGGGTCGGAAAACCGCCTAACGGGCAGGAGAGGGCATGGCTGACAGTGAACTGCTGTCCACAGAGGCCCGATGTTGGTAGGCGTTCGGGGCGCCAGCCATAGCGAAGGTGCACGTCATCACGGAACTCAGCCTTGGTGAGTTTGAAACCGTGAGCCTTTAGGGACCGGCAGGTGAGCCAGCTGGATGCCCCGCTCCGAAGCAAAGTCGATGGTACGTTGTGGCTCTGGAGATGCAGCAGGATGACGTGTCTCGGCATGGAGCGATGCCTTTGCCTTCGCCCTCACCTGCTGCTTATTTGACGTGGGATGGTAAGGTCCCCCGACACAGCAAGGAGGTCAAGTCTTTGTATATGATCCATTCATTTATTGTCTTACGCGTTTCTGCCTTGTGGGCTTCGTCAGAGACAAGGATGGAATGCAATGAATAAAGACCAGTAGTTATATAGGGCTTGATTCTATGGGCCAGATGAGTGCTTGGGCGGTTAATGCGCTATTTAGGAAGTTTAAAGGCACGATAATCTTGAGCTGTAGACAAGTATAAAAATGTCAACAAAGTTGTGCAATAAAACTCGGATGTTGAACCAATAGTACTATGTAAAGAGAAAAGCACCTACGTGTATAAGTTACTAGTTATGACTAACAGTCCACCAAGGTAACGAGATAATATACAGTCAGATAGTGCGACAACGAGGCACAAAACTGACAAGGATATTGAAACATTCGACGACCTGACACCTAGCTCCAACGCATCTACGAAGCGCAAACCAACAACCTTCCAACTTGGAAGGCTCGGGTGCGGAAAGTTCCAATGAGAGGAAGGGATGCGCCACGAAGATATGCACGAGCTATGTACTTCGGCAACAAAGAATGTCGAACGTTACGGGATGATGATGACGAGACTAGTAAGACCATTGGACCAGCTGAACTAATGTACTGAACCATAAAACTGGGGTCAAAAATGGGGTCAAAGTACTACAATGTTTGTACAGAGTCATCAAAGTCGACAGGGTAGAGCCAGTAGCTGTCGCTCATCATAGGCTGTGTTTACATGAGAAATTTCAACCCGGGTCGAGTTCAGCCCGGGTTGAAAGTCTGTACGATAGACAAAATAGGTGAGCGTTTACATGAAGACAGTTGACCCGGGTCAAATACTGATATGCCGCCAAAAGTCCACTTCTAGAGTCCTGTATGGTCACGTGAATCCGTTCGCGCGAAAATTGCATGTGCATTGCTGTTCAAACCTGGCGCGAGATACGCACAGAAGTACGTTTGTACGATTTTCTTGACCCGGGTTGGTTTCAACCCTCCCCTTGGGGGGGGGGGGGAGGGTTGAAATCAACCCGGGGTGAAATTTCAACCTGGGTCAAGCGCAATGCGTCATGTAAACGCGCCATTCATTTTGTGCACATGGCGGGTTGAAATCTGACCCGGGTCGAACTCAACCCGGGTTGAAACGCCTCATGTAAACACAGCCATAGTGTACGGTCCTGCCACCTAAGAGAGTGGGGATGAGCTTGCTGATTGTACTAACAGTGACGGTGTGAGCTACGGTATCGAATTAATACTTTACAACCCCTTGAATGCACAAAGCACCTTTTAAAATTTAATGCAGAATGTGTACTGCTGAGTGTGCAAATCCGGGAGAATGATCCCACAGCTAAGTGTTTATTTGCTGTAAACCTTTGCGGTCCGGAATACTTGGCGCTTTTTGCGATGGGTGTGAAATCGCAAAAGTAAGCCTGCGCGAAGCGTAGACCTGTAGTAAAGGAACCGAGGAAAATGACTCTAATCGCAATTTCTGTTGCGCATCGTTGCATGTGGTACAAAAGGTGGAAAATTATTCCAAGTGGTTTTCCTGTTATCACCCTGTGTGATAGGGTGAGTTTGCCCTGAAGCTGCATTATGACGGGTTATAATTCCTATCATTCATGATGACCTGAAACAAAACAAAAACTTTGCCATGGGAGTGGTATAATGCGGTACACACACGGATTTGCACACACGTCTGTAGTATTACTCGTGATCCTAGCTACTACCAAACAATAGCCATGGTCGCATGGTCCTTTTATAGCTCTGCGCCAGGGGTCTTCTGGGAGTCTATTGGGATCACACACCCTACCGTATTTCAATGTGATCTTTGCGTGTGTTTGCGTCTTCTGCAGTTGGAGCGGAAGCGACATCTTGGCAATGACATCGTTGTTATCGTCTTCTTTGATGGTGACGAGCTTCCAGAGTTCCAGCCAGCCCAGATCAAGTCTCATTTTAACCGTATCCTCTCTCATGTTGCCTACAACCCCATGCATGGCATACCAGTATATTGACGTTGCTCGGATATACATCCTCTGAATGGCATTTGAAGTGGGCATGGTCTTGAGTTTTGAATTTCTTCATGCTGACGCATTTTCTTCTTCCGAAGTCCGCACAGAAGAGAGCTATGTTAGTGAAAGTTGCGCTCATTCCACCGTACATAGAAATGAGTATGCGAATCTAAATTTGCACGTTCTTGCAGCATCTAAATTTGTTCAGTGGCCTTGACTGCTAAATATTTCAGATATATTCGCCGCCGTTTGCTACAGCAAAAAAGAAGAAGCGTACAAGTAAGTGCCATGAAGCTGCATGTTGTCTAAGCCAAGCTTCTACTGAAATCTCAGCTCTAGACATAATTGATGCACAGAGGTATGTATATGTGTCAACACACTCTTCCAACTTGACGGCTCTGTCTCAATCATTCTTCTATACGAGTCCTGCCCATTCACAAGACCGTACGGTAGTACTACTCAGCACTACTTACTGCCACTACCCCATGCCCACCATCACTCTTAGTAATAGACACGGTTTGTACGTTTAGCTTTGCAGCACTTGTTGATCCGATAGTTGTCTTCCATTTCCTATGGCTGTTCTGCTGAGTGCTGTGATTGTACTGTACTGGACAAGGTGCCATCCTTGCATGTCCTGCATTGACTAGCGAGTAACTCAGTTGCATGGTACATCTATGTATGACTATGACTGTACTACGTACTGCTGACAGGTACATGCCCTGCCGTGCTTGTGCTAGAACCATAGATGTGCGTTGTTTGGTGTTCTATGTAGGTGTAGGTATCGCTATTCCACCAGATGGTCGCCAGATTTCCCTCCTTGTGACGACCCCTTAGAAATATAGTTGATTAGGGTCGATTAGGTCTGCTGATGTTCTTGCCGACACATTGTGTAATGTAGCTTTCTATTCCTGGTCAGCCTGCTGTCTGTTATGTGCAAGCACCGTACTGATCCTAGCCTAAGCTCCGTAGTCCATGACATGATATAATGCATAACATATCCATGAAAGATTAGTTTTTGAGTTAGACTCTCCAGACGACGTTGTGTGAGCGAGCCAGGTCCGTAGTATTCTACTACAGTGCTTCTGGTGCTGTGTGTTATCATGCCCTCTCTCCTACCGTACTACGATTAATTTTCTTGATGTGCACTGAGTACTGATGGTCCATAAAATGATACATGTGTGTGCCTGTCTGTGCATGTGTGTGTGTGTGCATGTGTGTGTTGATGTTTTCTCTGTAGGCTCCAGCTGTATTCTGATAGAAATGTACCACTGTTCAGCCCTGCACTTCCAAACCCAGCTATATTCACCAAGGACAAGTTCCAGCTCTTCCGCTCCTTTCTCCTTGTCAAACGTAAGATAATTTAAAGGAAGCCCTGGTCTGCAGAACTAAGTGGCTTGTGTGTGTGTGTGTGCGTGCGTGCGTGCGTGTGTGTGCGTGCGTGCATGTGTGCGTGTGTGTGCATGTGCTATGACTGCCATCATGCCATGCTACTTATCCACTGTACAGTTGTTGTTCAGGTGAGAGTGTTTAGTAACTGGCAAGAAATTCATTCTTTCAGCCAGTGAGTGTTACAGAATGAAGTTGTGCACAATTCCTTAAACCTCTGTTGCTACCCTCCTTATGCTGTGCAGTTATCAATGGAGAGAAGGCATGTTACCAGTCACAGACATTCCGCGAGAAGCGTCAGCGCACGCTCAGCACATTACTGGCTGGCTATGAGGAACAGTATGGCGAGGTTAGTGCTCCTCCTGCTGCGGCTACATGTACACGTACTCCTTGTGCAGTGAAGATGGTCACTTGTTAACTTTGCATGCATGTACACACACGCACGCGCGCGCGCGCGCGCACACACACACACACACACAAACACCGTATTATCTGTATTATCTGTATTGCAAGTGCAGTCTCTTGTAGAAGCGCAACACCTATAACAGAGAACTGTGTGGATCATGCGCATACATATTCAACGTCACGCAGTATCACGTGCATACATGTTCAACGTCACGCTGTATTGCAAGTGCATACATGTTGTGCCGCACGTCCGTCATCCTGGAGACAAAGGGACAGACCTGTCTCCAACATGTACATCTGTGTACAGTTGTACTAGGTGATTCTTGGCACCCTGGTCTTGCACGGCCCTTACCGCCCTGGAAGTGGTGCGAATCCTGCTCAACGTACACATGTCGTGTACAAGCATCTCTGTGCGATGGGAGCTGGTCCAGGGCGCGTTAATTTGCACTTTGGGTGGCATTTCACCTAGCATACACCCTTAGAATCCAACGCTTACTGCTGAACCGGCTTATCTCGTGAGCTGTATCTGTGTTGTGCAGCACCTGCTCCTTATTCTGACCAAGCTGATTGGTCTACTACCTCTTCTCTTCTATCCATGTGTAGTCTCATTCGAAATTGTCCGACATGGTGTCATCGAAAAGTACGAAAAAGAAGAAGGAGCAAGAGTCTGAGTTCATCCGTATTGGTCAGGTGAGTGAGTTTGCTTGTGAATCGTGTCGGCTTGTTGTGCTGCAGGGGGGGGGGGGGGGGGGGGAGAGATCAACAGTACTTTGTGGTACACTCATGTTTGAATACATGAGAATATATGCATGAGTTTAAATGTTACCTCGAATATGCCTGTTTAGACTTGCAAGTGGTTTGGTTGCAATTTCCAAGAAAGTGGGGGGGGGGGGGGGTATACAGTCATATGCGTCATTTTTGAACACAGCTGTGACACAGTCTTCACAAACCCAAGTAAGTTGTACTGCACATTCCTGGTCTACCATTACACAAACTCCACAATGATCTAACTCCACACTCTCTCCATTGGTATGATAACGTCTGTGTGTGTGCTTGTGCTTTTGCTTGTGTGCTTGTGGTGTTTGCCGATTCAGGAGCTGAAGGCACATGAAATGATGAAAGGTGATGTGCCAATAGCTGAAGTTCCCGATGTCAACGATGCCGCTGTGAGTGTGAACCCCATGGCTGGTCAGGACTGTTCTTATACGCCTGGCTGATGTTGTGTTTCACAAATAAAAGAGCGGTACACGAGTGACCCAAATCTCTTTTTAAACTTTTAAGTCCAAACTTCTGATACTGTAAATCAAGAATATTTTGTGCGCGAAAATTCCGGAACAACAGGAGAACATGCATGAGATTACTTACTAGTATTATGTGCAGGTTGTTGCCATATGCATGTGTGTGTGTTTGCATGCATTCACGTGTGTATTTGTGCTTATGTTGTGTTCACAGCAAAGCTGGGATGTATCTCATTTCATGACATTCTCTCGGCCAATCGACTTCGCAGAGCAGCATTGTGAGTGTTGGCTACTTGTCCTGCACATTCAGTATTTGCTGGTCTGCACATCCTCTCCAATAAATCACTGGCTAATTCCCTCTTGTTTCTGGCATGTTGTTGGCTTCCTAAAACACGCCAACCCCATTTCTAATTTTCTATCAAGGTCTTTGTGCTCAACAACGTACCGAGACGTTGGGCTTGACTCAACTTTTCCCAGTAATGCAGATACTACAGGTCATCTCTGTGGGGAGAGGTTGTTTTCTATAACGTATATCAAAGGTAGTACATCAGCTAAAAGAGTTGCATTCGTCCTACTTCAAAGTACTTACTAGTGTACCCCAGCTATGTTACGGTCAGGGAGGCGTACAACCCTGAGATTTCGCGAGTTCCCACCATTCTACTGGGTTGTTCATTGCATCGTGCTGCACATCGTGTCGCCAACTCCTTCTGATTCCCTCTTATATAGTGTGATGAGGTGAGTGAGTCGTACAGTGTCCATTCTGGCTGGAGTTATGCCCTCAAATCATGCTGCATGATTTGTCAACACTGCCTTCACTCACATCGACAGTGTTTGCTGCCACTCTGTGCCTACAGGTAACAGTTTGGTCGTCCACGGTGATGAAGGAACTTTCATTCTGGATGGTGAGTGTGAGGCTGCTGCTGAGATATGTGTGTATTAGACCTGCTGCAATGTCACAGATCTGGTGCAGTAGTCCAGTGCTAGTGAATGAAATCCAACCCCTGGCACACTCTCTGTACCCCTTGTCGGGCAGCCATTGATGGCCCTGTTTTTGCTTGTAGTGGCACTGGGTCATGGACGCATAGAGTGTACATTTGACTGTTGTGGCCTGAAGATTTCACACTTTTTTTAGTCCTGGCTTCACTGCAGTGCAGTACATGTGATCTCTCTCTCTCTCTCTCTCTCTCTCTCTCTATCTATATCTACCTCTATCTATCTCTCTCTCTTTCTCTCTCTCTCTCTCTCGTTCTCTTGGTCTTCAGGTAAAACCTCACGGCCCATCATCGAGAAGTCAATAACGGTCAAGCATGTCATTGTGTGCGAAGAGCACAATGTATTCCTTGTACTCGGAAGTGAGTTGCTCTGTGTGTGTGTGTGTGTGTGTGTGTGTGTGTGTGTGTGTGTGTGTGTGTGTGTGTGTGTGTGTCTATGCGTGTGTGGGGGGGAGGGGGGGGGGGGGTAGAACGTTACTTTATGGCTGTGAGTCATGGGCTGTCAAGGCAACCGTCACCCGCCGTCTGTCAGTGTTCCACAACCGCTGTGCTCGGTTTATCCTGGACGTCAGCAAGTCAGAACAATGGAATGTGCATCTCTCCAATGCCGTCATCTTGGTTTGCGATCAGTGGTGGAGATGCTGAGGACGCGCCGTCTTCGCAGGTTGGGGCATGTCGGACGACAGAACACCGAAGTGCGTATTGTTTGGTGAGCTCAAGAAGACGCGCCCTCGCCGCGGGCCACGCAAGCGTTGGCGTGACAACGTCGTGATTGACCTAGAGGAACGCCACATCAATGACTGGTACAGCCTAGCCGAGGACCGTCGTGCGTGGAGACTGGCCTGCAACACCATCCAGCCGCCTAAACCTGTGTATCGGGATTTTAGGTGCCACTGCGGCCGAGATGTTCACCGTCGCCAGGACCTCACTCGCCACTCGAAGTTCTGTTCCGCGTGACTGAAACACTGTCGGTCCTTTTAGGACCTGCCATCATCTCCGGATGGGCATTATTGTATTGGGTGGGTGGGTAGGTGTGCGTGCGTGCATGCCATTAGGGCTTTTGTGTTAGTTCTCCCTGGTAGGAAATGGGCCGTGGAAGCTGAGGGCTAACTCACATAACGCCGATATGCACTGAGCCCAGGGCAAGGAATGCTTGTTACAGTTTCTCCTGATGATGGCATACACTGGCGTGAAGCAGTGTATCTCTACCCAAACTGGACGGTAAAATTCGTTAGTCCTTTCAATCTGGCTCATTTGGGTAGTACACCAGCTAGCATATCCTTCTAGGGTGCTTTGTATGATTAGTCACAACTGCCCAATGCAGAAACAGATGAAATGAATGCACAGCACAGAATGCATATACGCACTTACAAGTTTTCTAAGATCCCATGCTACAGTATGTATACTAGTAAAGTCGAGCCCGTTGCTGACTACGCAACAGTAAGAATGCATGAAAGTAATTTGATGAACTGCTGTAAGAGAGAGAGAGAGAGAGAGAGAGAGAGAGAGAGAGAGAGAGAGAGAGAGAGAGAGAGAGAGAGAGAGAGAGAGAGAGAGAGAGAGAGGAGGAGGAGGAGGAGGAGGAGAGCGTGAGCTCCGCTTTGGAGCAACTTCGTCAGATATCACCGCCAAAATCGCTCCTTCTAACTTTAAAAGCTTTAAACAAGATTCTGCTTTTGATATTTGAATACTAACGTCGGATTTTGTTCTTTTTTGGTGTGTTGCCAGGCAAGTACGTTCACTGCTTTCGGCTATCGGCCCTCAATGACCCAGATATGCCTCCCATCGGGCGCAATGAGATGAAACTACAGCGTGTGGAGGCCACGAAAGGTAATCTAAGCTGTCCGTGAATGCATACTCTGATGTGATGCAACATCACACTATCAGTGGAGTGCATGCGGATGTTCTCTTTTGATTGTCAGCGTACACGTACATGCTAGCCATTATGCAAGATTGTATTATTAACATGTAAGGTAGCAATTTATCACCTGCCAGAATGTGTGTGCGTGTGTGTGTGTGAGAGAGAGAGTGTGTGTGTGTGTGTGTGTGTGTGTGTGTGTGTGTGTGTGTGTGTGTGTGTGTGTGTGTGTGTGTGTGGAGCTATCATATGGAAGTGCATTCACGATCTCCAAGCTGCAGGGGAAGGTTTGAAACCGGCTCGGACAACGGCAGTCATGGATGAAAACGGAAATCTATGCACGTCACCAGAAGAGCAGGGTCACCGTTTTCGGAGACATTTCTCTGGAGTGCTGAACATCCATAGCACGTGGTCACCTAGTGCACTGGACTCCATCCCACAACTGCCGGTAGCCCAAGATCTCGCTAGTCCCCCGACACTGGAGGAAGTTCGTCGTGCTATTGGCAAGCTCCAGAGCGGGAAATCGGCTGGAGCCTCTGGTATCCTCCCGGAAATGTTGAAATTTGGTGGGGAGCAGCTGTTCCTCAGCCTTCATGGGCTGTTTGGCGATGTGTGGCGTGAGGGTCGTGTCCCCCAGGAGTGGGTAGATGCCATGCTGGTGCCAATACCCAAAAAAGGTGACCTCTCCAGGTGCGATAACTGGCGGGGGATATCTTTGCTGGATGTCGTAGGCAAGGCTCTAGCAGGAGTCATTCAGCTACGCCTCCAGTCTCTGGCCAAGGAATTCCTCCCGGAATCGCAGTGTGGCTTCCGCCGTGGCAGATCATGCTCCGACATGATATTTACCATCCGCCAACTCTTGGAGAAGACAGTAGAACATCAAACCAAGGGTTTCTTTGTCTTCATCGATTTGCGCAAAGCTTACGACTCGGTTCCTCGTGAGTGTCTCTGGCAGGTATTGGCTAGAGCTGGCGTCCCTTCACCCATGCTGGCGGTGATCAAGTCGTTTCACACCTCAATGGCTGCTGTATTACGCATGAGTGGTACAACTGTAGATCCCTTTAGCGTTCATAATGGCCTACGCCAGGGTTGCTCAATGGCGCCCGTGCTGTTTAACATTTTCATGTGGGCCGTGGTAAGCAGATGGCAGCAGCGCGTTAGTGGTGTACCTGGTATTGGTTTCAGTTTCTCGCACAATTCTGACACTGGTAACCTCTACAGGAAGTCTCACCGCACCGACCCTGTCACGCTACGGAGGCTCAGTTCGCTGATGACTCGGCATTGTTCGCTACATCAAGAGCTGGTGCCGAGGTCGCATTGACAACCTTTGACAACACAGCGTCCGAATTTGGCCTCGCGGTTAGTGCCACAAAGACCAAGTTTTTTGGTTGCTGGTGCTGATGTGTCTGCTGCTGACCGCGTACCCCTCAGTCTAGCTGGTGTCGACATTGCCTGTGTCACCGAATTTAAGTATCTGGGTTCGGTAATTCACAGCGACGGCCGTTCATCCTGCGATGTTGACTCCCGCATTGCGAATGCTTCCCGAGCGTGTGGCGCTTTGCAAAAGTCCATCTTTGGCAACAAGCACCTGGACCTCCACATCAAGAGGTGTGTGTTCAACGCCTGTGTCTTGTCGCTCTTGCTGTACGGTTCGGAGTGTTGGACGCCTCTTCAACGGGATTTGCAGCGGCTCTCTGTCTTCCACCACCGATGCATCCGCTCAATCATGGGAGTGTCTCGCCAAGAATGCTGGGATGACCACATCACCAATCACCAACTACGTGTGAGGTGGGGTGATCCCGACACCATCCGCACGAAGGTGGAGCACCGCCGCCTTGAATGGCTCGGGCATGTTGCTCGGATGGCGGACCACCGGCTGCCGAAGCAAGTTTTCTTTGGCACGCTTCTGTCGCGTCGCCCAGCTCATGGCCCTCGTCGGCGCTGGAAGGATTGTATCATGTCTGACCTTCGTTCTCGCGGCCTCGAGGGGGAATGGTGAGCTGAATGCGAGTCGCGTTCCACCTGGCGCTCGGCGTACTCAGCACCGGTAGATGCCCAGCATACCCCTCCCGTCACCTGCTACACCTGCGACCGACAGTTTACACGCCCCAGTGATCGCGCACGCCACAAGTGTAAGGCTGAGCGTGCGAAGCCGGTTGCGGAGCAGAAAGGTGCATGCCAGTGTGGAGAGTGTGGCCGTTGGCTGAAGTCCCGTGGAGGTCTGGCAAGGCACAAGTGTACTTACCCCCAGTCAGCAGTCGGTGCGCCCCTGCCGCTGCCTGCTTCTCCGCTGTGCTGCGTCGCTCACTGCCAGGCTTGTGACCGCTGCTTTGCGTCTACACGTGGCCGCGCCCGTCATCGCTGCTCGCGGACTTGTAGTCGTCCGACCGTTCAGGACCGTCAGGGTTTCACGTGTGTTTGCGCCTGCTCCCGCCGATTTCGCTTACCGCATCACCTGGATCGTCACAGGGCTGTGTGCTCCTCCTCTCTCTCAGCTGCCCCTCCGGGGCCCACGTAACCTTCATGGCAGTGGCTCAACAGGACAGGACAGGTGTGTGTGTGTGTGCGTGTGTGTGTGTGAGCTGAATAAGTTACAGTCTTGCCCACAGCGTGTTGGGCTCCCGGTGGTACACCCGCCATTTCAGACACTACCACTCAAGTCCATGTACAAGTACAGGAATTGCACCTAACATTGATTTTCGTCTTCCTTACTACATCGTAATAGTGGAAAGTCTAAAGCTTGGATACATTCATGACATGTGTACTTATCCCCCAGTTGCCAATGCTCCTGCTTCGGACAGGCCGTATTTGACTTTTTTCTTCCATACTGTTGCTGCTGCTGTTGATCCATATTAGGAGCAAGCTCTATAGCCGTGTGTAGAGGTGTGAACATCATGTTGCGGCTGGCTGTGGCGATTGGCCGGCGGCTGCAGATGTTCGTCTGGAAGACACCGGCGACCAATCAACCAGGCGCACCCGAGGTGGCATTTGAAGGACCGGAAGGATTCCTTGAACTCGAAGTGAGTACGGAACCTGGCAAGGTTTCCAAGTCTGCATTGGCGTGGGAGAGATATAGATTGTGTACAGTTGCGCTAGGAGTATAAGTCCGGAACCGAACGAGCCAGAGTACAGAGATGGCAGCCCCGAACCAGTTCAACACCTAACTGCATGCATGAGTTCTCATCTGTACGCACCTTCAGCACGCACACTGCATGGAAGTACTGACTGAAAGGGTTTGCACGAATTCGGTAGCATTCGTTACTTGCAGGGTGCCAAGGGCCATGCAAGTGCTGGGTGCCGAATATGCACCTGGGGTCGGATTTCACCCTTGTACATTAGTTGTACATTAGAGCTACACGCTCATGGCGCAACGTGTTTTGTTTGCGTGCTGTCTGTGTATTCTAAAACATCTGCTCAATTAAAATTAGGTCTGCAACGGGTAGCGGTTTGGTCGGGTAACGAGTTTGGGTAGCATGGGTACCCTATCGGGTATATTGTTGACATAGTTTGTACAGTGAGTGTGCACATGCGCCGTAGTAGAAAATGTACAGTAAGCACATAGCCGTGCTTTTTACATGCACCGTTGCGAACATACCGTACTCCAACTACCCAATCCCGTTTTCAGGAGCAAACTGCTACCCGAATACCCGCTCCGCTCTACAAGCAGTTTTCATGCTTTCGCGCGGATTATTTCTTCGAGTTCACAGTGAGTTTTTCCAGCCAGCTCTCGAGCGCGCATACGGTAAGACGGCAAACTCCCCAGGCGATTGCCAGGATTGCTAATCTTTTTGAAATGGACTGTAATTACGGGTAGCATGGGCACCCTACTACCCAATGACACCCCTAATTTAAATTGATGCTCAACTACTTCAAAGTATGTATTGTAATTTTGTGTGCGTTTTCCCCATGTGTGTGTGTGTGTGTGTATTTGTGTGTGTGGGGGTGTACGTGCGTGCGTGCGTGTGCTGTATTTTCTTGTTCAGTCCATAAACATTCAAGAGACGCCCTCCACAATGCTGCTTGTTGATCATCATCAAGTGCAGAGCTACCAGCACAACAAGGTCATTGTCAGCTATCGCAATGTTCATGATGTAGTCGATGAGCACACACACGATGTGGAGCGGCTCTTTGAGAATCCTACAAACGCAATGGTAAGGACGAGAACATATCACATGCACTTCGCCCTGCTCCCGCAAACAACACTGCGGGAGGGGGAGGGGGGGGGGGTAGCAGCTCTGTACATGGTTGTGTAGATTGAAAATACACTGCAGTACGTATTTACTCTATAAGTCTCACAACACATATAATATTATCAGACTGACGCCTGCCCCCTTTGCATACCGTATTATCTCTAATATAAGCACGGTCCTTTATCTTTTCAATGTACCTCCGCCCCGTGCTATTAATGGAGACGTTCCTTTATTGGAGACTGTTCCATTATTATTTCACCCTCATTTCAGAGGCATGTTGCCATGCCAAATTCATGTCAGACACACACATTTCATGGTTTTTTGCCAGTACAGATAATGAATTTACACAGTGTGCTTATTATGGAGACTGAGCACTTTATTTTTTGAATGCCGCCCCAAGGTGTTCTATTATTGGAGACGTGCCATTATTGGAGACTGTGCTTATATTAGAGATAATACGGTAATATCTAACTGCACATATGCCCTGCAAATTGTGCTTGTCTCCTGCATTCAGTTCTCTGCTGCATTTTCGTTTTGTGTCCTGGTTCAACATGTATTTGCAAGCCAAAGATGTTTTTCCTCAAAAGCCAGGCTGTTCATATTCAATCTATTTCAGTGTGTTTCAAATTCGAAGTGGGGTGACATGTCTCCTATGTGTGTGTGTGTGTGTGCGTGTGTGTGTGTGTGTGTGTGTGTGTGTTATACTGCCTGTTGCAGGTGACCTCACCCATTGTTGATCACTATGAGGAGGACAAAGTGGAACTTCTCGTCACATATAATAGTAAGCACAGTACATATACACTTTCTGGTTGGGCTTCAATGTTCAGAAACTGACCACCTGCCAATACATGGATATACCGTAAAGTACCGCCAGAGCGCCCCACCATCTCATCCTTTCGTGGTCGTATTGTGGCGGTGGTCTGCTGTCTGTAGGTCATACGACATGAACCTTGTACACATATTGCACGTGTTGCAGTCAATCCGTACCTTCAAGCGGACACAAGCTCCACACAAAAACCTGCCAAGTGTGACAGTACACCAAGATTCTCACATCGTACACACTTCGTTGCACTCTGCCATACAATTTTCCTTTCTCTGGCTGTAAAATCAAGGTGGGGCACTCTCGCGAGACGGGGCGCTCTGGCGGTACTTTACGGTACAGTCAGACCTCGCTTATCCGGTCCTCTTTTATCCAGATCCCTCGCCATCCGGAAGAAAATCGTTGGTTAAGATTTACAGCAGATGCCATGCATACAGTCATGCAGTTAGTGTGTTCGATTATCCGGTTCCCTCGCCTGTCCGGATATTTTTTGTGGAAAACAGATGTGTGCGGTTATGCGAGGTCTGGCTGTATTGTAACATTGAGTATGTGAGATTGCTCAGTGCGTAACAATATTATCATGGAGTGCCCCAGGACCAAGAGCACCAACATGTTTGTAGTCGCTTCCTAGCCAATGGGGTATGTAGCGTGGTGCACAGCAGATAAAGGAGAGAGGCGGGACATGGCGCACAGCAGATAAAGGAGAGAGGCGGGACATGGCGCACAGCAGATAAAGGAAAGAGAGGCGGGGCATGGTGCACAGCAGATAAAGGGTACCAGTACCGTAAAGTACCGTTGATCCGCCCCCTCTCTAATTCCCGCCCCCTGTCGATTTCTACCTGTGAAGCGACTTCGCGTATACAACGAAATACGATGTTGAACCGACGCATGCACTGCTGTACAAAATACGTGCCAAACCAGGATGAAAATGTGCACAATCCAGCACATCTAGTCTGATCCTCTACGTTGTTGTACATCGTACTGCACTTGACAGCCTTGATCTAATTCCCGCCCCCTGCCGAAAATCCAGCTGGGAAGCGACATGGCGTGGGGGCGGATCAACGGTACTTTACGGTAGTCGCATGATGCGGCTCTTCTTGCAGTTCCCTAAACCACTGATGGTAGTTAGCTCAAGCCATAGAGCTCAGTCGCCGTTTGCGATGGAAATATAATTATAATGATATGTGCCGTGCATTGTGCATGTTGTTTCGTGAGAGACCCTGACGCGATGCAAAATCAGCATAATTATCACTCAACGCTCATCACATGGCAGACGTGCTATTGTGCATTTTGCTTCCGGCTGTGTTTATGCGAGCGTTTTCAACCCATCCTATATACGTAGACAGATTAACGGGAGCGTTAACATGTCAGCTGCATTGCGCTTGACCCAGGGACAATACAGTGCAACGTGCACCACCTCAATATCTGCTTGCAAATATTGTTTTATATTTACGTTGCGTGCTACCTTCTGTGCAGACATGACCGAATTCAAGGACATCTCTGCACTGTACGGTGTGGGGCGCAAACAGACCATGTTCCACTGGACATGCATGCCGCATAATATCGGTAAGACAAAGACAATGCTGTTGTTGTTGCTAATCTGCTCACCATGACTGACTGGGCTTGCTTGCATGCCCCCGCCAATGAATCTCATCTCAGAAAGGTTTTGGCGCACCTGGATCGTTCTATTCGGATGCTGGTTTAGAATGCTTATGGGAGGGGGGGGGGGTGCTAGTGTGGGATGGCATCACTAGCCAAACTCCGCAATACTGTACTTGTATGTCAAGAGTAACCGACTCACTAAATTTGTATTGAATATCTCTAGGCTGTGTACGAAATAAATGCACCTTAACCGATCTGTGTGCTGCACAGATGGCATGGTGCGGCTGTTCATCCGTACGAAGTATTGTGAATGTAAACGGGCTTGAGATGAAAATGTACTTGCAGTACCAAAATTGTTTGCATACAAAACGTTCTTGGTGTACAGTGATTCTCCAGGTAATGCTGGTCCAGCTACAGTGTGCTTTCAAAGGCACAGTAGTTTGTTATTCTCTTCCATTGTCACTCTAGTAATGTACCGGCGGTATGTAGTACTGTATAAGCAGAAATATTCGTCTGGAATTTAATTTCGTCTTTTTCGTCCAAGGAGCTTTTGGACTAAATTAAATGTAGGACAAATATCGATTTGTCCAGCGTTTCTATACACTCTTATGACCCATGGACGAAATTTTCAACCGGACGAACTCCTTTTCTTTGGAGTTGGACGAAATTTTTGACTGACGAAATTTTCTGCCTCTACAGTACTAGTAGGTCCCGGTAAATTGATTTCAAAATCGAAACGCACACACTTAGTCATGGTGACAGATTTTCACTGACTACGTATGTTCTCCCACTGGCCATGTCTTTTCCTGTGGCAGTGTGCAAGTTCCCGTACGTCATTGCATTCGGCCGCGATAGCATTGAGATTAGACTATACATCAACGGTACTGTCGTCAAGAACATGATGGGTCTGCGTGATGTCAAGCTTCTCTCCTCAAAGGTAGGTACCCTATTCCATTGCTGCTGGTGACAATGACTGTCATTACTGCTGCTCAAAGCGGTGTACTGCTGCTGTGAGGACTGTTGGTGAGGGTGTCAGTGGATTGTTTCAGGTCCTGCTGCCAGTGGCGGTGATGTGCCACCGCCGCTACTGCTACTGCCACAAACCACAAGCACCCCACCCGCTGCTGCTACTGCTGCTGCTGCTGCTGCTACTGCTACTGCTGCTGCCGCCACTGCTGCTGCAACTGCTGTTGCTGCTGCTGCTGCTGCTGCTACAACCACCACTGGTGCTACTGCTGCTGCTGCTGCCTCTGCTGCAGCCACTGCTGCTGCTGTTGCTACTAAGCGTGTTTTATTGAACGCACAAACCACTGATCATATGAATGCAGGAAAATAAAAGGATGGAAGAAGAGAACAGTAAAAGTGACTAAAGTGAGAATTGCAACAGCAATGTTTATAGAAGAGAAAAAAGAGAAATCACAACATTATTAGAACACAAAATGCAAGCAGCACATTGTGCATCTTCTTACAAAAGGGAAATCAAGCTTTTCAGGATGCCGGAAAACTAATTTTGTAACATGATCACCCCACCACAAGATGGTACGTGTAATACACTGTAGCTAAACTATGCCCTAGGGAGCACATGCCACTGCTGCTGCTGCTGCTGCTGGTGGTGGTGGTGGTTGGTGGTGCTGCTACCGCTGCTACCGCTGCTTCTGCCAACACCAGCTTTGCTGCTGCTGCGACCCGTCAAATTTCTTTTGAAAAACACTGACAACTATGGGTGCAGCTTCAAAGTTCTCAGAAATACGGGTGTTTGTTTGTGTGTATGTGTGTATGTGTATGTGTGCGTGTGTGTGCGTATATGTGTGTGTGTACCCACAGAGGAATATCCTGTTCACCTCATCCCATGTTCAGAACGGCGATGCGCCAGAAGCAAGCCCTTGCAAAGGTCAGGCATTAGCTTCACAGATCTACACATTAGTACTGTAAAATTCTTTTCCTTTACCGGGAGCCCAGAAGACAGCAACCGGTGCGGTGCTGCTACTGCTACTCCTCCGGTTTCATCACATTATCAGCAGCTGCAGCACTCTCCGTGGTGCACACCGCTTGTACATACATCACATACATAATCAATAATACTCCAAATACTTTCCCTGCCCATTGATCCAGTTGCGTTTTCAAGGTTCAACATGAGACTTTAGGTAGCTACTTGCACGCTCCTCTGGTGCTTCCCCTCCCCGTGCAGTCTTGCTTTTTATTTGTACCAGTAATGCTTACCCCTCCCCACATCCTTACGTAAATACTCCTCTGTATCATAGCCTGTTATATTTATTGTAGTCTCCGCTCAATTTAAAAGTTTCTTCTGAGTCGCGAAATGCACACTTACCTGCCCTTTTTAAACTGCTGCAATACTAGGTTCGGTTTCTGCGATAATATTTTGCTTATCCGCCACCCAGCCGCGCGCCTTCTTTGTGTTTTTATGTTTTGCATGCACTGCCGCACAACAATAGTAGTCTTGGTTGCTTGCAACTTGCAGTTTGTGGCCACTCGGCCAGCAGCAGGCAAGGATGCTAGCGAACAAGCTAATGTTTTATACTATTCTATGTGTAGGAGAGAGTTATCAAGGAATCCGCTTTGTTTTGTTTCATTCCACGCACTGTGCTACTAAACTCTGTTCTCATTGTCGTGTCCAATCTTGGTGCCGGCTATGCTCAAATGCCTCTACACTACTTGTCTCTCTATTTTGAGCTTTTTTCTGAAATTTATGCTCGACTTATCATTGTTGCTTGCAGCCATCCTAAATTATCGCTGTCATCCATGTGACGACAATCAGTAGGTACACAGTACATGGTACTTTTCAACCCACTATGCAGCAGGCTATGTGAATGTAGTATGTTGGTGTTGCATTGGGCTACTGAGTGCACACGTGTCCTGCTGCTATCAAGTCACGACGTGCAGCGTACAGCATCGGTTTATTTTGCAGAATTTCGAAAGCCGCATGGAAGGGAGTGATCTTTTCCTTGCACAGGCAGAACACATTTGGACGCTGAGTCGACTGGATTTGGTCCGAAAAGGCTGCGATGCAGCGTTCCTCCTTTATTCCCAATCGAACATGGTTGAACAAGCGGTCACGTGCTCCTGCGTACACCAGTCACCTGGTCAGCGTGCCTGCAGGGTACAACTTACTAGCCTGTTTGACCTTTTTTGGGTGTAGTCCTGTCACTCGAGTTCAACTCGAGTTGAACCTTGGTGTGAAAGTTGTCGCCTGCTGGCGTGGTGACCAGGTGATTTGGGCACCCAGGAGCACGTGGCCGCTTGTTCAACCACGTTCGATTGAGAATAAGGGCCGAACGCTGCATTGCAGCCTTTTCGGACCAAAACCAGTCGACTCAGCGTCCAAAAGACTACAACATATGGGCCAATCGCGGTCATCCGTGCTTTTATAAGAACGAAATGGCGCTTTTAGTGACATTTTGCATACAAATCCCCATCTAGTAGGGCGCAGTCACCCAGTTTCGGTGGAAGTGCGCGAGTTCAATTGGGATTGAAGTAGGAAGGGAGCATCTCAGCTTTCTCAGACCAAGACCATTCGACTCAGCACCCCGAAGACTACAACTGGTGAAATTTTAATTTTTGCTCTTAACTTCCCCTTTAAAAGTAAGTAAAGCAAAGTTGGTATATCCACATAATAATTATCATAACCGCCGGCTTACGATTGTGTCGAGAAACACAACCAGCTTAGATAAGTTTCGCTCGTGCCAGGCCACCACTACTTCGGGGAGTCTTACAAGCCCAGGTTTGAGTGACTCCCTGTCACCATGGTCACAGCTCTACTCACACGATCAGTACTGTCAACAGTACTGCACAATCATCATGTACTGTACTACATGTACATGTACATACATGTGCATGAACTGTTCAAAAACAAAATTGACCTCGGCTCGATTTTGGTGTGGGAGGGCCCGGGAATCTCTATTTTTTTTGGACTCTCCTAAGGCGAGACCAAAAAATATAGAGATTCCCGGGCCCTCCCGCACCAAAATCGAGCCAAAGCCAGTTTGTTTTTTTTGAACAGTTCATACATGTACAGTACTGATCGTGTGAGTAGATCTGTGACGTGGGGTCACACAAACCCGCCGAGCTTGTAGTAGTAGTAGTAGAATTTATTATTTTGATAGGGAAGGCCCTACAGACGTTGCCGTCTTGTTACAGGGAACCCTAAGTGCTCTTTACAGAGCGAAACAAAAACGGATAGATGCTCAACCTGACGACACGAGACAGGCAGAGAATTCCACCTATCAGCGCCAAGGAAAGAAATAGAGAACATGCCATATCTAGTGGTAGCAGCGGGCAAAGAAAGTGAAGAGAATGATTGCCCTCTAGTGCACGACTCCCAGAAGTACAGATCAGGGCCATCGTTGGCCAAATTGTAGAAAAATTGAACGGGTAAACCGCGTACCTGTTTTCTGTAAAAAAAGAATAAAAATTTACCGGAAAATGCTGTAAAAAAAGGTTCAGCATGGCATGCACGCATATAGTCATGTACACACATGGGAAAAAAATAAAATTCGCCCGCCCGCACCAATTTCACATGGTATGGGTCCTGCCCGGGAATCTCGATTTAATTTTGGTCTTGCCTATTAAAGGAACTATTTTAGCCTTTTCAGTATAGCATTTGTACTAGGGCTGCAATTTTTTTTTTTTTTATACTCAGGTTTTGTTTTTTGAAGTTAAGAGAAGTGCAAAGCAGAGCTGGGAGTGCAGCCGCCCGATAGCGGACTGAAAACTACTAGTAGTAGGATGAAAAGAGCACAGACGAAGCCAATACAGACAAAACCAGAGGCAAATGGTATCAAATGCGAATGCCTGCCTCAGCAACCGCCAAGGTGGGAGGTGAGTCCAACTGCACCGGCCGAAGATTCTACTAGGGCTGCAATGGGTGGGGGTTTGGTCAGGTATTTTTATCCGGGCAGCACGAGTACCCTACCCTATCGGCTGTGAGTGTGCACGTGTGCTACATAGAAAGTGCACAGTATAAGCACATAGCCGTGCTGTTCACATGCACCGTTGCAAAAACACCGTACTCCAACTACTAGTACCCGATCGGGTTCTCACGAGCAAATTGCTACCCTACTACCCAATCAAATTACGGGTAGCACGGGTACCCTACTACTCGTTGACACCCCTAATTTGCACTATAGTGTACATAAGATGTTGCCTATTTAGGGTACAAGACTGTAATGTAAGAACAACAGGGTTCAGCATCTGCAGTACTGTGGCATATTACTGGGGTTGCTTGAGATTCATACTGTTGTGCGTTCGAATTCTGCTTGTTCTCTTTCTTCCTTTCAATTTTTCTTCTTGAAGTGGAGAGAAAATTTCTAAGTCCCTCCAAAGTTGAAAGATCACAATGCCTATTAAAGTGGTCAATATAAGTTATAAACAGTCGATAACACGGCGATATGGGTAATATAGGACCAGTCAAGGATCACATAATCAATACTAACACGAGGAAATAATCTACATCACGGCGACGTAAAGCTTGAACCTTTTCAATACCACATACGGCCGGAGACAGATATCCCTAGAAAACGTTTCTATTGAAAAAAAAAAAAAGTAGTTGTGGGAGTTCGATAAAAACCAGAGTCGGAGAAAGTGACGTCAAGCGCTGCATTCACGAACAAAGTCACTATGATGCTGCTCAATATGTCTTGTGAAGGCGGGGAAGTTAATGAAGCCTTGAGCATCTGTCAGCTCTCCCTGCAACGCCTTGCCATTGAACAGAATACGGACCTTGTGCAGAGCACAGCCAGGCAGGCGGCATCGCCAAACTTCAAACAAAAGACGGGAGGCTAGGGGTGGCCAAACTCCGTCGAACGAATGCAGAGCAGTCAAGACAGCTAAGAGAGTGGTTTCATGACCAAAGAATAGAACGAAGGGCGTGTCATAGTTCTGAACAGTGGGATTGACTTGGATCTGCTCAAGACGTTTCTCCATTTCAAGAACTATTTGTTGCAGGAGCGGGTGAGCAAGATATTTGGAGTGGGCTAAGGAGTAGTTCAATGCAAACGCTGCATCACATGCTGCCAGGGTTTGGTGCAGCAACTCCTGCGATACACAATGTTCAGGGTCCGGACAATCCGATGGCTTGGACTCGGTCTTGATGCACTGCTGGTTTTGTACATTGTCACAGATCTCCATCAACAGTGGCATGCTCTCCCGGGCTGTATCGAGCAACTTGGAGTAGCTGGACATGACTGGTTCTAGCTTCGTCTCAACCATGGCTCGATACTCACTGCTACTGGCTACTGTTCTACTCAGAGTCGATAAGTGACGAGAGCACTTCAGATCGACACCTTTAAACATGTCGGCAGCAGTATGAAGACCGTGAGATAAGACCCTAAACATACCGTCTACATGCACGTAGACGCTAACCTCCTGATCCGTCAGTAGGCCAGTCAGAAAAGCAGCCGCACTGCGCATGCAGCGGTTTGCAGCTGTGGAGCGGACTTGCACGTTTGATGCGCGCATGTTCTTGCCCAGGCCAGCAATAACACCGCTCTCCACATAGCGGCGGCGAAAGTGCTCGCCAAGTGCTGATAGCTGCTGAAAACCGACACTGGTCATCTGCCCCAACTGGCAAGCCATTTCACCTTTTCCAGGATGCAATGGGAAAGTTAACTGGCCACTCACTCCTTTACCATTTGAGGAGAGACGTTTCAACAGGACGTCGTCCAGTCCGGACCATCCACCTCCCATACTTGGCAGCCCACAGACAAACTTCTCCAAATTGCTAAGATGCTTCACGTGTTTGAGTGGAGCACGTTGGCCATGTCGATACAATCCTACTACTTGCACCAGGTGGTACTCGCCGGCCTCTGTTAGGCATGCCAGTTCTCTCCCATCATCACTGTCCACTGTAATAGAATTTACATCGTTGCAATATCCATCGATTCGTGATGCTTCTGGATATTTGGCAGCAGGAACTCCAACACACAAATCTAGCAAATGCTGCGATTGTTCTGAAAGCGTAACCAGGTGGACAAACAAAGCAACAGCCATGAGGGCAATGAATAAGCCCACCATCCGGCGAGCATGCAGCTGTCCAAACCGGCATAGTAAACGTAGGCGCTCTACCATATTGCTTGATGGTAGAGAAAAAAATAATTGCTCGCCTGCTGCATGCACCCGAACGTCAGCATGGTGCTACACTGCTGTTGGTAGCAGAGGCGAGAGCCACCACTGGTACATGGTCAAAGAAAGCAAAATAATAAGTATCCGTCGGTTCCTTTCTAGTTCTGACAAAGTCTACACCAGGGAGTCGTACATCGACTCCCTGGTCAACACATTCAAAAAGCCAAAAACACGCGATGATTTTACGACTTTTTTTCTTCTTTTTTCCCCACATGTAGCTACGATCTACCGTATTCTACGATCGCGTACGAAGCAGGGAGTCGATAAAATACTTTACGAAAATATTTTACGACTCCCGCGGCCCGATCCCGGATCCCTGCTACGAAGCCTACGCTACAGTCCATTTCAAAACTATAGACGCGTAGGTCTACCTAGGCAAAAACCGTTATGCCAGCATCTATACCACATAAAATCTGTGATCACTTTGTGCATAAATTTTTCCAAATTGGGCGTCTGTTATCCAATCCTTTAGAAACTATACGAGAGTAATTGTGGAGCGATCCTGAGCAATATTCCGAAAACTATTCTCAAAAAGTTCCAGCCAAATTTGAAATATTTCAAAAACCCTACGCGTCTATAGTTTTGAAATGCACTGTAGCGTCTCTTGCACGGGCAAAATTAATAAACCGATACAATCATGTCATGAAAATACAAAAGATGACCAAAATGATAAAGTAATATTGTTTGCGTTCCGGCTCTCCGTCTTCTCCACAGAAACACATGCCCATGGGAGGTTCCGGAGTACGATTTTTCGTGCCAAAATCCGTAGAGGCGCTACGGATTTTTTATACGTCGTTTTTGAGCAGTGAAATGTTCCGGAGTACGGAACTTATGTGTTTGCCGTCATTGCCTAGGTTACGATCGCAAACACGTCACATTCCCGCGCTATGCCTTTTTATTTTGAAAATTTGTACCGAAATCAAAACTTCCCGCGGAAAATCGATGTTTCTCGTACCAAATTTGTACGCGAAAAATCTTTCTGCACCCGATGACGCAAAATCTCCATACGAAACATGGTTCGTGTGAAAGCCAATCCACACGGATTCTCCGTGCCGAAAAATCGTATGGAGCACGCCTGGAAAAAATCCGTACCGCCAAGAGTCCATAACCCTGGGTTATGGACTCTTGGTACCGCCCATATGGATTTTGGCACGGAAAATCGTAGTCTACCCCGGAACCTCTCTATTATCAAAAACGGGCAACGCCAGCTTCTGCAACAACAACGTTGCAATCTCAGCAGAGACAGGATCAGCAGATTTTACGACTTTCGCCTTTTTTGCCAGTTTTGGGTCTCTTTGCGCAATTGCATTAATTTTGGTCCGTACGCCGTTGCACACTAGCTGCACTGCACTACGTTCAAAATTATGCTGCGCATACTTGTACACTGTATGTTCCCATGGAAATCAAAGGAATGTAGCGGGAAAATCAAGAAGTAAGTAATAATATTACGGTAATATTTATAGTGTGTTGTAGCAACTGTTGCTTTTTCCTGAGTCAGGAGTAGAATTCTGGTCTTGAAAGGTTTTGAACAAGGACACCGTGGCGATGGCCACCTTCCGCCTTGGCCCTTCTACCGTCATCCCAGATTTCATTTCTTCAGGTGTGTGCACGACTTCTAGCAATTCTTTCTCGATCTCGATCTTCTGGCGACAAAATCAAGGTTTGAACTGAAGAAAAAAGCAGTAAGTAAACCACTGACTCCACCGCAGGCGCAGCTGCAGGGTGCACCAGTCCGCCAAAGTACAAAGGTCGAAGGCTATGAACAGCACAAAAGGACAGCAAAAATTGCCGTGCATCCTCGTTGTCATGACGATTCACGTAAACAGCAAGTGAGCTATGTGCAGTGTGCACTGAACCAAGAGTACATGAAAACCATGTACCAAGAGTACATGAAAACCAGAGTACTAGAGTGTGCAGGGTTGTCCACAAAATGTTATTTTTTTCACCTAAAATGGAAATGTAAAATGTGCAGAAAAACCCCAAAATGTTTTCGAGATATTTTCGAAAGTTCTCTAAAACATTAAAAAATCACCCAAATTGCTCGAAAAAATGTGACTGTTGCCATGGCAACCAAAATGGCGCTTCATGTACCAGATCTCTGACAGTCTGAGATCTGGCCAGATCTACGAGTCATCGAGCCGTATTGCCAGAATAGCTACAGCTGTTACAGAACCATCGGTGGAAATGGCGTGCAGCGAGCCAAGTGTGTTGACGGAGGTCCACTCCGACTCCAATGAGAAGAGCGAGGAAGAATCCGACACCATCTCCATCGTAGAGTCTTCCGGGCAAGCCGTGAGTGAGACTCCTGCGGCAAGTGTGCTGGATAAATTGGCTCAAAATGGAAAAGTGTGAAAATTGCCCAAATTGCAAAAAAGTGTGAAAATTACCCAAAATGCCAAAAAATTCGAAAACATTTTGTGGACATCCCTAGGCCACACTGTGCAGCTCGCATGGGTTGCTGTCACGGCGGAATTCCGTGATTACATCATTTTAGTGATGTAGTGCGTACAAGCAGGATTCAAGCAAGTCTCTTTCTGCACAACTTAAAGGGGAAGTTAAGGCAAAAATCAAAATTTCACCAGTTGTAGTCTTCGGGGTGCTGAGTCGAATGGTCTTGGTCCGAGAAAGCTGAGACGCTCCCTTCCTACTTGAATCCCAATCGAACTCGCGCACTTCCACCGAAACTGGGTGACTGCGCCCTACTAGATGGGGATTTGTATGCAAAATGTCACTAAAAGCGCCATTTTGTTCTTATAAAAGAACGGATGACCGCGATTGGCCCATATGTTGTAGTCTTTTGGACGCTGCGTCGACTGGTCTTGGTCCGAAAAGGCTGCGATGCAGCGTTCGGCCCTTATTCCCAATCGAACATGGTTGAAGAAGTGGTCACGTGCTCCTGGGTGCCCAAATCACCTGGTCACCACCCCAGCAGGCGACAACTTTCACACCAAGGTTCAACTCGAGTTCAACTCGAGTGACAGGAGTGCACCCAAAAAAGGTCAAACAGGCTAGTAAGTTGTACCCTGCAGGCACGGTGACGAGGTGACTGGTGTACGCAGGAGCACGTGACCGCCTGTTCAACCATGTTCGATTGGGAATAAAGGAGGAACGCTGCATCGCAGCCTTTTCGGACCAAAACCAGTCGACTCAGCGTCCAAAAGACTACAACATATGGGCCAATCACGGTCATCCGTGCTTTTATAAGAACGAAATGGCGCTTTTAGTGACATTTTGCATACAAATCCCCATCTCGTAGGGCGTAGTCACCCAGTTTCGGTGGAAGTGCGCGAGTTCGATTGGGATTCAAGTAGGAAGGGAGCGTCTCAGCTTCCTCGGACCACGACCATTCGACTCAGCACCCCGAAGACTACAACTGGTGAAATTTTGATTTTTGCCTTAACTTCCTCTTTAACTGCAGCTCAGTTGTACGCACTGCGTCATTTACCGCCTCAGATCTGCACCAAATATGATGTAATCATGGAATTCCGCCGTGACAGACACCCATAGCAGAAAAGGCCCAAGCTGCACACTCTGGTTTTCATGTACTCTTGACTGAACTCATGAGCAACTTATACTGGACTGCGCTCGTAGACTCTTTATATATACACAGAAGCCTTGCTTGGTAGTTTAACCAAGAGTCCATAACCCCCAGAGTGTGCAACGCGCGATAGGGTCTTGTCACGACTCGTTTTCAACATTACGTCATTTTCATGTAGCGAATGTCGCGGCCTGCACGCGCAGCTACATGAAAATGACGTAATGTTGAAAACGAGTCGTGACAGACATTTATGTGGCGTTGCACACTCTGGGGGTTATGGACTCTTGGTTTAACATGTTTTTCGATTTTGATAGCATGTTACAAGGCGAGGACGCATAGTGCTCCTGACTACAACCATAACCCGGTTGGCAGAGTCCCGGTCTTGCGATCATTTGAACCGTATTGGGAAAACCCAGGTTCGGACCCTCGTTACTCTAGGGGCTGGAAGGATTTAAACAACACAACCAAAAAAGAATCTTTTTTAAATCCTACCAACCCCTAGAGTAACGAGGGTCCGAACCTGGGTTTTCCCAATACGGTTCAAATGGTCGCAAGACCGGGACTCTCCCAACCGGGTTATGGTTGTAGTCAGGAGCAGTACGCGTCCTCGCCTTGTAACGTCATCATCATTATCATCGATGTATCATCATCATCTGCGTTGCCGAAAAAATAATAATAGTAAAATAAAATAATAAACGTCACTATGCAGCTGTGTAAGCAGTAGATGCACAGTGTGACTGCCAGGCATCTCTGTCAGATGCCAACTGGCAATTCTCATGCAGAGACATACCAGTCCACGAAACGATATTGTCAGCAAAGGAAATCGGCGGACGTCCACGCTTTCTCTTACCATCCACAACACCAAACATCACGTCACGTACAAGCTCGCAGCCAGATGGGCGGCAGGTGTGCCCGAAATAGGTCAGTTTGCGTATCTTGACCCTGGCTAGCAGCTGTCTCTGTACTCCCAACTCCACCAGGATACTAGTGTCATTTGTGCGCTTCTCCATCCAGGATACTCTGAGCAGACGTCGGTAGCACCATATTTCTGCTGCCTGTATTCATCGTTCATCTGTCTTCCGGAGAGTCCGACTCTCAGCTCCATACAGCAGGACAGACTACACAAGGGCATGCATTATCCGGATTTTCAGCTGTCTGGAGATGTCATGGTCTTTCCAGATGTCAACTAACTGCAGCATACGCTCTTTCGCCATGGCAATTCTTGACAGAATATCGAGGCTGCAATCACCGTTTGTTGTCTTCCAGGATCCCAGATACTTGAAACTGCTCACCTCTGCTATTCGCCTTGTAACATGCTGTCAAAATCGAAAAACATCGTAGACTCTTATACGTAGTGTGCAACGAGACCGGCGCTTTTGGGTGACTGGTCATAGCCCAAACCTGCCGGCAATGCTTCCAGAAAAATATTGAAATTTCCCACGAAAAGAAATTGCTGGCAAATTCCGAGCAAAATACAGTCGACCTACCCTTATAACGATAACCCCTATAACGATATTACCCTTATAACGATATTTTTCTGTCAAACCAAATCACTCCATTGACTTTTGTATACAATGCCTTACCTCAAAACAATATTGCTATAACGATATTACCCCTATAACAATATAAAATGGGCTGACCAATCGACATTTTCCATTTTATAACAATATTCAGCAGGGAATATGTAAAATCCACTGTCAAGGTAGGGCAAGCTTCACTTGATAAGTCGCTGGGACATGACGAAATGCAATGGGGGCACCAGTGGGCACCTTGCTGTGTACATAATGTGCATGTACATACCTTAAGAGTTGTTGACGCTATGAAGAGTGTAAAAAACGAACTAAATTCATGCATTGTGACGTATGTGTATGAATGAACCAGTTACCCTTATAACAATATTTCTTGGTCGGACGCAAATATCGTTATAAGGGTAGGTCGACTGTATCGAACTTATAGAGGATCCGGGTGTGTTTTGGCAATTCTATTCTAATTTCTTTGGTTTCAATGGACCGATTTCGTCCTGAAATAGCTCGTGCATGTTGTCAGGGGTACATCAATTCAGAATCGTGCTACAAAATCCGTAATACTGACACCACTTGCAGTTTTGCTTTCCTCATCAGAGTCACCACCCACTTTAACCAAAGTACCTACATGTACATCATGCCGGGAGCAGTAGGCAATTTTATACGTCGGATGACTTCCCCTACCCATGCTGGTCGTGGGAGGGACCAGTCATCCGCAAGTAGTGTATCTAGCAATGATAACATCGTGGATTCTACCCAGAGTAGCCCAAGTCCGAGGCGGGGCCGAAAAGCCGGTCGCAGTGTGAAGCCCTGCAGTCCCGCAGAGTCTCTTAGGCAAGGACAATGGATCCACGCAGAGAGCAGGTCCAGGAGCGAGCAAACGACTACACGAAGAGCGTCACGTAAGTGATAGCATTGACGACAGCTCATTGCCTGTGTCGCGTGTGCTGCAGCTTCTCGACTCGTTTAGAGAGGAATTTCGGGGGGATATGAGAACTGCACTTGCAGATCTCCTAGCTCCTCTCAAAAACCGCATGGGCAAGCTAGAGAGAGAGATATTGCAACTGCAAAAACAGAGTGAGAAGCTGCAGACTGATGTCAACAAATGCAAGGCAGCAGGTGATAAGGCCAAGTCTGATGTCGACAAAGGCGGGAAATCTGCCATTGTTGTCGACTTTAGGCGCCAGGTTGACGGCCTCTCTGCCAAACTCAGTGACGTGGTAGATAATTTGCCAAATAAGGTTGACCTCGCTACATTGGTTCGCGAAACGACCTCTTCGCGCACACAGCAAGTGCATGTCATGCGTGAGTCATGGCAGATGAGGTGGCGAAGCGGGACCGCAGCAACAACGCTGTTCTCCGTGGCCTAGTGGAGGCTGACGGGGAACAACTCCAGTCCATTGTACAGGGTTTGGTGACTTTGGTCACAGTCCAGGTCTTGATGCTGGCGATGTCCTCAGTTATGAACTCTTGGTTATGAACTCTTGGTAATAACCATGAACCAGTCGAGCACTGTAAAAACGAACGTAAGAAAAAATGAAAATCATAAGCCTGACGGCGCTAAACTGCGCTTATTATTATGTGGAGGGGAAAACCGGAATCCGAGAAAATAATAGCATACAAAATCATAAGGGGGGGGGGGGGGAGGGGAAGAGGGGAATGAAACAGAACAGTAGCCCGGCAAACATGCCACAGATAGTCACCGAAAGCACTCTGCAGCAGCAAGCGCCACAGGAGCATCAGAATCAATGACTCTCTGGCGGGCATCTTGAGACCGTGGCCTGCAGTGACCTCGGAGGCTGGCATGGGAGGCACGAACAAGAGAAAAGGAAACCCTTGACCTTATAAAGGCAAGAAGTGAAGAGAAGGGCTCCTTTCTCTTGTCGGCGAGCATAGAGGCAATACGCTTGAAGAAAGCGGAGGCGGCCTTGCCGTAGCCGCCAGAAGCGCTAAACACAATGGGAGAAAATGAAGCGTGTTCAACTTCGCGGACGCGTTCTTCGTAGGCACGCCTTTTCTCGGCCTCATGCTTCCAGTAGGTAGCCGTGATGGACTGCTGGCAGTTGGAGCGGGCGTGAGGGTTGAACACCTGGATGTCCAGTAGTGCCCGTTCGAAACGTCTACCCCAGACACCCAATGCAGCCACATCCAGGCGGGCACCATCCTCGGAGATGGCGGAGCGGTGACGAAGGTCTCACCGGTTAGCGGCTGGAGATGTGGCTCGACCTGGACATCATGGGCCACTTCACGCAGGAGAGATGCGGTGAGATCCCGTAGGTCATTACGCCGCATGGCGGGGTAGGCACCAGTTGGGCACGACAGCGTATGTTCGGGTGAAAACGCTTTGCCGCACACACATTCCGTTGGCAGGCCTGGAGGGGTCCAACCATACCGTAGGCAGAGAACGTCCCAGAACGCCTGCTTGTGTAGGTTGAAACCATACTGTCGAAGGGGCCGACAGGTCAACCAGCTGGAGGCGCCCTTTTCGGCAGCAAGATGCAACGTGCGCTCTGCGGTGCTGGTGGAGATGGCAATGACTGAGGCAACAGCTTCCTTCGCCAGGCGCCGGGACTGGGAAACAATCTCTGCCTTGGCTGTGATGGTGGCAGCCGGGACGCCTTCTGTGGACTGATCTTGTTGGAGGATCTTCTGCACAAGAGACTTGGTGAAATGCATGGAGTCCTGGAACTGGGAGGCAAGGGAGGGTGGGTTGACGATCCCCAGCCCTCCATCCCTGCATGGTAGGGCCAGCATGGCACGCTTGAAGTCTCCTGGTGGAACGCGGTTGATGATAGCAGGGATGAATTTGCTATGGATTGTTTCCTCCAAGGGTGCAAGCACGTCGGCCGTATTTGGCACTGTCCGGGCAACAAAGGACCACTTGTGGCGAACTCCCTGGCCGAAGGCAGCAAATGCTGCTTGTGGTTGGGTGCGGGCGAACTCAGCCAGAACATCCACTTCGCGACACCACTCATCCACCTTGCTCGACACATATGTCGAACAGAATGTTGGTGATCCTAGGACGGCACCTAGGTGGCGACACCCATCCGACCGGATGTCTATGCTGGAGTCCTGGAAGATTTCCCTGGCCCGATCTAAGCATTCATGCTTCACCAAGAGTATCGACTTTTTGGCGTTGATGTACTTCGAAGTAGTAAGCAAAGGATGGACCTTCTTCTTCCAATGGACCACCACTTATGAAGCTTGCCACGGTGAGAGTGCTTGCTGCTGTGGAATCATCCGCGATCCACATTTGTATGACCTTGCTAGAGGCTGCACGACGGATGAGAGGCACGGTGCCCAACGCATACATCGCCATTGCGAGCGGATCACCTTGCGTAGTTCCTTCACAGGAGAGAAAGGCCTCGCCACCGATGAACAGCCAAGATGGGGACCAGTACGTCAGATGCTGGATGTTGCGAATGCAGACGTTGCGGTTGATACGATTGAACGCATTGGATGCATCGACTAGAAGCACGGCCTCAGTGTCAGCATAGCGTGGATGGCTGCTTCGATGCCGCTCTGTTTGGCCTGCACACAGTTGGAGGGACCCTCCCTGTGGCTTGCTGAATTGCACACGATGATGAGTACTATTATTATACTTTGAAGTACTTTTATAGTACTTTTATAGTACGCGTACTTGGCACGATCAAACATGTAAATCATTTTTTTCCTGAAAATATTTGTATACGATTGCGCCGCGCGCTGCACGGTACGGTACGATGGGCGCTGACTCTGGCTCTGGCGAGCTCCCGTATTCGGCGATTTTTGGTGGTTTTATCGTACATGGTGCAGTGTTGCAAGATTTGAGGTTAGAAAAGGGTCCAAAAAAAGGGTACCTCAACAGTGGTTCAAACCGGACAACGCAGTGATGCAAGTGGTGTAGTGGAACTACTACTAGACTATGCAGCGAACTAGTCCTCACGCTCTGGCATGCGCAATCAACCACAACACCAGTTCTCGGTTAGAAAAGGTTTGTAAAAAGAGAGATAGAATGTATGATCTGAACACTTCCAAGCAGGCAGTAGACTGACTCCCCTATCTCAGAGATAAGACCGGAAAAACTAACAGGGAACTCCTCGCGTGACTCGGAGATCGTCAGCAAGCAGCGGGAGCGAGGATGAAAGCAAAGACAGCCAGGTAGGGATACAGAAGCCATGCAGCGTGACAGGTGGACAATGGACACAGCAGTCCATGGTGAAACAAGACACCTAAAGGATAGAGTGAATTACGTGCACAGCACGAACGGGTCATGACTCATCTATCTAATAACTGGTAGGCTTCCAGCACTCTACAAATATGTCTGGAATGACAGCATAAGGCAACAACACTTCTGGGAGAGCCAGACAACAAGAATACTAACACCACTCATCAGAATAGAAGTACTAGCAGAAAGACTATAATGAGTATTGGCAGGACTATTGTTACTATAACAAGTCGGTTACAGTTCCTCTTCACCCCATCACCTGGTAACAATAGGGACTGTCGTCCAAACCGAGCTAGGTTGTGTAGCGACTCGGTGGTCGTATGCTGGTGCGGCTGCGCAGACCATAACGGGGCACATCACTAGTACTATCACCTGCGTCAGCCTCGATCCACCAGACAGGTCCGCCGTCGTCACTATCGTTGTCATCATCGACGTCTGGGTGCAGCTCTGCGTCGGCGTCGGCGTCGTCTTCCTCAGGAACACCACTCTTCAACAGGTCAATGTTGACGGTCTTCTCCTTCACGCCTGTTGCACCGTGCTTATGAGAGATCACAACGGTGGAGGGCGACACAATCCGCTTCACGGTCCATCCTGTCTGGAACGGCGGAAGGCGCTTCTGACGGCGACTTGGATGTCGATACAGTACATGGTCGCCCACGCAGTAGGGGTTGGCACGGCATGGAGACTCCAAGAAGTCGGCGCTGGCTAGCTCAGACTCTACCAAGTCCCTTACGACGGCCGTGCGATCAGCCAGCTTCGTCACCCATTCGCTTAGGAGGCAATCATCATTAGCTGGCTCAACAACAAGATGCCGTGGCCACCAGCCAATCATCGCTTCGGTGGGGGACAGTCGCGTGGCGTGGTGAGGCCGGTTTCGGTAGAAGAACAGGAGCACATCAAGATCCTGCTGCCAGTCAGACGTCGTGCTTAGCACCTTGCGAATGAGGCCTAGCAGCGACCGGTTCATACGCTCGGCGGCGCCTTGAGACTCAGGATGTCGTACGGCTCCTGTTCGTACACGAACCCCCATAACTTTGAACAGCGACTCCACGATGGCGTTCCGGAATTCTGTTCCATTGTCCGTCCTGACGACATCGGGGGCTCCCCAGCGTACGCACATTGAGGTGAATGCTGCGGCAACGGAGGCGGCGTCGTGACGACGAAGTGGACAGATCTCGGCCCACTTCGTGAATGTGTCTATGCAGACCAAGACGCAATGGTACTGTCCGCTGCTGTTCTCGCCAAGCTCCAGCGTGTCTAGGACGAGCTCACTCCAGGGTCGGCCAGGAATATCAGGGCGTGTAGGTGACGCCTGTCCGCTTCCAGACGGGTTCGCGGCTCGGCACTGCTCACAATCGGCGATGTACTTGCGACACACACGGGCCATGTCCTTGAAGAAACAACGAGCTCGAATCATCTGGTAGGTCGCCTCCCAGGCAGCATGTCCGGCATTGTGATGGGCAATGGCTACAACTTCGCCGACCAGCACGTCGGGAACTACCGGCACTTCGACCTGTCCATCCAGGGTTAGCTTGACACTCCGGAAGAGTACTCGGTCTCGGACGACTAGCTCTCTTGCCACCTTGCTGTAGGATGAGGGCACGAGCAGCTGGTTCTCTAGGCAGTGGATCACCGACTGGATCTCCTCATCACTCGCCTGACCCTCGACTATCCTAGCGCGCAGCACTGGGCTAACAACGTGGGCCTCGCCAACAGCCGCACTCACGGAGACGCTACCCTTTCCCTCTTGCTCCTTGAAGTACTTGATCCAGGTACGCGGTACCCTTGTCAGCGCATCGGCGGGGTTTTGATCTGTCGGCACCCACTCGACAGACACACTCAGGCCGGCTGTTGCCACTATGTCAGCAGCGATCTGCAAACGGCGCTGCACCAGCACGTGGTTGAGACCCTTTGTTCTGATGCGCCGGATGTTACCCAAAGTATCGCGCAGCCAGCTGGCCACCGTCTTCGAGTCGGTTACAAGACGGACGCGTCTCGCACCCCATGATACTGCTAACGAAAGGCCGTTGAGCGCTGCATCCAGTTCCGTGACGTTGATGTGACGCTTGTCATGTGATTTCCTCAGCCAAGCCTTGTCCTCGATGACGCCGCTGCCATCCTTGACCACTACGCCTAAGGCAACATCGGATGCATCGGTGTACACGACGAGCTCTGGATCACTGGTCGATGGTGTCACTGACCAGACACCTTTGGCTGGATCCCCATCATCTGCTAGCCGGGCCATCACCTCTTCGCAAAACTTAAGCACTTGCTCCGACACGAGGTGATCCCACGGCGTGTCACCTCCGACTAGACGCTTCAGGAAACTGGTAGCAGGTCGTAGCCACCCGCAGACAGGCACATGGCTGGTAAGGCGTCCACACCAGCTGAACAAATCCCGCTTTGTCGCTGGTCGCTGGAGATCAAGGCTGATGCCGTCGCGTCGAGTCCAGCGTGTGTCACCTCCTTCGCCCGTGCTGAGCTGCAGCCCAAGGACCCGAGCGGAAGCCATCGGCTCGGCGGGCTTTGTCGGCAGGCCGAACTCGAGCAGCCTAGCAGCAACCGCCGGGACGTTGTTGCGCGGAACTCGGATATCGTCGACATAGTTGTCGGCCATCGGGAAGCCCTGAAGTATCCACTGGATGACTATGTCCATGAATTTCGGTGCGATGTTGAGTCCGAAACCCATTCTAGTCATAACGTATCTCTTCCCTTGCCATAGCACGGTCTGATAGCGGACGAGCTCAGGTTCGACACGGATCTGCAAGTACGCTTTCCGAACATCCAGGAGGCAGAAGTCGCTTGCATCGCCGTCCTGCCGCCATTTTCGCAACGTGTCTTCACACACCGGGGCATCCTGGCCTGGTTGTGACATGAGCTGGGCGTTCAGAAAGCGGTAGTCTAGGCAGGGACGCACCGGAGTTGTAGCCTTGTGCTCCTGCACCTGAGCGAGAAGAGGGAGCACCGCCGCTGGTTCGCCATGGACATCTGGATCGTGTCGTACCAGCCATCCTTCATCAATCCACTTCTTAACTTCAGCGCAAAACTGCTCTTCCTGTTTGGATGACAGCTTCTTCCTGGAGTACTCTCCAATGTTCGGACCAATGCGGTGGCAGGGCTCGACACCATCTTGCCAATACCACTTCAGGCTCCAGTGGCCTTGCTCCGCGTGCCACCTCACTTCGCCGTCATTCACCCGCAAGATAACGTCCTTACCATCGCGGATCACGTTGACATGTGGAGATGGGTGCGAATCTTTACTTGGCTCCGTGGTACACGCGGCTGCTGGCGTCGTACCGAACGTCACGGCACTCAAGGAGTTGTCCTCCCCGTAGCGAAGCTGTACGCCACCATTACCGACCACGACGTCATTGCCCACCAGGATGTTAGCCGATACAGCAGTCAAATCTCGCACTACCACCGCTGTCACTACGGTTACTGGTAGCAGCACTGGGCCATCCAGTCTGCGCAGTTGAAGTTGCACTGTGCCGCATACGTCAAGCGACTTCCCATCCAGTGCAATCAGATTCTCAGAGTACGCACTGTCAGAATCGAAGTTTCCTATTCGCTCTGCAGTTTTCTTATCGATCAGCGTACGCGTTGAACCGGTGTCCAATACTGATCGCAGACGGTGCCACTCGTCAGAATGATGACTCACACTGTTCTTGCGTGCCTCCACGAAGACCCGCGGTAGGCCGCCGCGCTGCGCTGTCACCGTGCACAGACAGGGATCGCTGGGGTCCCACTCGCCTTTGGGAAGTCGGGGTTGCTGCTCCGTAACGCCAGCAGCAGGACGCTTCTTCGAGTCCAGCCACGCTTTCCTGTCAGGACAATCGGGTTTCGTGTGACCAGGCTTGTCACAAAAGTAGCATGTCACCTGATTCCCCTTGTAAGAGTTCAAGGGCGTCTTGGCTGACTTCGAGCTGCGCTTGGGGCAGTTGCGACGAATGTGGCCAGCCTCGTGGCAGTAGTAGCAGGTCACGGTCCCGCGATCAGTCGCACTTGATCTGGCAGGGCGATCACTTGGGCCAGCAGCGGCAGAAACGTCCTCGGAAACAGCACCACACGCTTCCGCAGCCGTTCGCAGTGCGCGTACCTGCTCAGCGCACTCGCTGATTTTCAGCGTCTTGCCAGCCATGGACATCCGCACGGAGCGAGCGAACTCTGCACCCAGGCCAGCGATGAACTGCTCGATCACCACTGAGTCAGTGTCGCTACCGGCTGCGTGGCCAGACAGCGCGAGCAGCCGCTGGAGGTCTGCAACGTACGCATCTACGGACTCGTCGACCTTGAGCTTCCTGTTTACGAACTTGCCATACGCCTGCGAAGGCGTGACTGCAAAGGCGGACGATAGCTTGGCCTTTACTTCATCTACTTTCTTTTTGTCCGCATCCGCCATCCTCGAAAAGACCAGGAACGCATCTCCATCGAGAAACAATGGGATATACTTCGTCTTCTTGGCGTCATCATCCCATCCAGAGATATCGGCCAGTGCCAGAAACTTCAGCCACCACGTACCGAAATCTTCACCTTTTCCACGGAATGCGCGCAGATAGTTATCTGCCTTCAGCGACATCACGGACTGCGAATACGCTCACTAGTAGTACCGACTACCGACCGCACACAGACACCAGACAGTGCAGCCACAGCCCCCAGGTCCCGGGTTTCGGCACCACGCTGTAGTGGAACTACTACTAGACTATGCAGCGAACTAGTCCTCACGCTCTGGCATGCGCAATCAACCACAACACCAGTTCTCGGTTAGAAAAGGTTTGTAAAAAGAGAGATAGAATGTATGATCTGAACACTTCCAAGCAGGCAGTAGACTGACTCCCCTATCTCAGAGATAAGACCGGAAAAACTAACAGGGAACTCCTCGCGTGACTCGGAGATCGTCAGCAAGCAGCGGGAGCGAGGATGAAAGCAAAGACAGCCAGGTAGGGATACAGAAGCCATGCAGCGTGACAGGTGGACAATGGACACAGCAGTCCATGGTGAAACAAGACACCTAAAGGATAGAGTGAATTACGTGCACAGCACGAACGGGTCATGACTCATCTATCTAATAACTGGTAGGCTTCCAGCACTCTACAAATATGTCTGGAATGACAGCATAAGGCAACAACACTTCTGGGAGAGCCAGACAACAAGAATACTAACACCACTCATCAGAATAGAAGTACTAGCAGAAAGACTATAATGAGTATTGGCAGGACTATTGTTACTATAACAAGTCGGTTACAGTTCCTCTTCAGTGGAGTGAAACGGATTAGATCTTCATGGCCTTTCCCAATTCAGTGCTTACAAGACAAAACCTGGCCGAAATCCCAATTCAATGATTACAAGACAAAACCTGGCCAAAATCCTATTCTTGTCATGGCTTGCTTTTCGGAGAATTGGACTTCAGAAACGCAATCGGAAGAGCATTCCATGGGGGATTGCAGAAAAAATGGTGAAAAAACTCAACATTAAATTGAAACAAGGAAAACGGTGGGACACAAGCTATGCGTTAAGCGTCCACCAACTAAACCAGGCTTTTTACAGTCAGACGTGCACAAGGTAGCACCAGACTGACAAGGAGTACTGAGATATTCTATGGCAACCTTCTTTGGAATTATCACCAATATCCGTGAACCTTCCAAGTTGGAAGGCCGTTGGTTAGCGCTATCGAGCAGTGCTCAAGCTCACTTCTTTGCCGTGAAATGTCTCAGTACTCCTTGTCAGTCTGGTGCTACCTTGCGCAAAAGTGATTACGTCCACGTTTTCAGAGGACATGTACGGGAAAATAGGACTTGACACTAAGGGAAGCACGCGTTAAGACTTAGTGTAAGACAGTACGTAGGCATCATACACTATTGCATGGCAGTTCGATGATTGCAACGATAGTATTATTTTTCGTTGTTCAGCTCCTTTTCCGTCAAAAGGTGACGAAGGTTCATGCCACTATTGTTCCTCCATGGATGCAGGTCGTTGTCCAGCATTGCCTACCTCGTTGTCCAGCATTGCCTACCTCGTTGTCCAGCATTGCCTACCTCGTTGTCCAGCATTGCCTACCTCGTTGTCCAGCATTGCGTACCTCGTTGTCCAGCATTGCCTACCTCGTTGTCCAGCATTGCCTACCTCGTTGTCCAGCATTGCCTACCTCGTTGTCCAGCATTGCCTACCTCGTTGTCCAGCATTGCCTACCTCGTTGTCCAGCATTGCCTACCTCGTTGTCCAGCATTGCCTACCTCGTTGTCCAGCATTGCCTACCTCGTTGTCCAGCATTGCCTACCTCGTTGTCGTGTCTTTTGCTGGTTAAGGCCAAATCTTACGAATGTTTGTTGTGCGCAACCTCTCTTATCAGTATCACCATGCCTAACTTGCCCTTCTTACTACTGGGGAGGAGTACTACGCCGAGGGAGTATTCTGTGGTGATGAATCACCTGCGCTGCAAGGTATCGTTCTGCCTAATGCGATGGGCTGTCACTTGCTTCAGGGGCACTCGAGCATCCTACCGCCGCAGGCGAATGCTGGCTGGGGGCTGGTCGGCAGTAACACTCTGCCTCGGGTAACAGACATGTACGTTTGAATGCTGGCTGGGGGCTGGTCGGCAGTAACACTCTGCCTCGGGTAACATACATGTACGTTTGAATGCTGGCTGGGGGCTGGTCGGCAGTAACACTCTGCCTCGGGTAACAGACATGTACGTTTGAATGCTGGCTGGGGGCTGGTCGGCAGTAACACTCTGCCTCGGGTAACAGACATGTACGTTTGAATGATTGGCAATAGTAGTCACTCACGCTCACCATGAAAACAAGACTCAACTACATTTGAATCTGTTGAGTTCTTTGTCCATTGTTGTTCTCACATTGTGCTGATTGTAATACAAACTTTGTGTCGAGTATAGTACTACTTCCTGCTGCTTATGATACATGTATATTATTATTATTATTATTATTATTATTATTATTATTATTATTTCTCCTTTATTCACTTCTTTCGAAGGCGATAAGCCAGACCCACCGGGAAATATTTCCATGGGTGGGACAGCAAAAAGAAAGTGAAAAAACAAAAACAAAAATAAATAAATAAATAAAACCTAAAAACCAAAGGGACAAGAACTAGTTGAAGGAAGAGGAAGAAAGGAAAGAAACTCAATCCGAACTCCAACATCAAAACAATAATAAAGAATTTGCAGCGACAGGCAAAATACATCAACCAATGAAGGGAGTAGTAACAAAGGAAATATCAGTCTTTATCAGTCGTTATTCAAGTCTCTTAGCTATTGAACATGCAAACGCAGCAGAGGTGCATCTACATGTTAAGGATAGTTCTCAGTATTTTAATCGAACCTTGTATAGCCTCCTGTTGCACAATAGCCAGGTCTCCTCCCTGCACAGTCCGAAGGCATTGAGGAGTCTCCCCCACCAAGCCTCCCAGGGCACCGACAACCACAGGGACCACGTCAACCTGGTTGAGGGACCAAATCCTCGAAATCTCCCGCTTCAAATCATAATATTTCGAGCGCTTTTCAGCCATTTTCTTATTGATGTTGTTCTCACCAGGAACGCTGATGTCTATAATGTAGGCGATGCGCTCCTTGTCATCAACAAGGAGCAGATCGGGCCTGTTTGCTGATAGTTTCAGGTCAGTTGGGACCGAATACTCCCAATAGAGGCGATACTGATTACTCTTGACCAATGCCTTGAGCTGGTGGTCGAATCGTGAAGCACCAGTAGGTAGATCTCGTGCTTTACACATTTCGAAGTGCACATACTTTACTATCCGGTTATGTCGTTCAATGTAACTGGTCCGAGCAAGAACTGGGCAGGCACTGACAATGTGGTCAATTGTTTCTAAGCTGCCCTTGCAAAGCCTGCAATTGGCATCAGTTCGAGGAATTGACTTCATTATGGCGTATTGGTAATTTTTCGTTTTGAGGGATTGGTCTTGTGCTGCCATAATCATGCCTTCAGTTGAAGGTTTCAGTGTCCTTGATTTCAACCACATGAAGGTAAGCTCCTTATCTAGGCGATTCTCCTCCAATCGGCTCCAATATCTCCCATGCAGCGGCATAGTGGAAAGTGTTTTGGATTTTCGCTCAGCGCACGCTTGTTTAATGGTATGCTTATTGGGTAAAGCTGGTCCAGCTGCTGGCAGATCCAAACTCGACAGGAACTTAGCGGCCTTTGCAGTTATTGAGTGGCTTTTTGTTGTAGGTTTTTGTTGATGATACTGATAAAGCAGGCTTATTCTGTCTATTGGGCTGGTACTCATGTAGCGGGCCAGGCCACACATGCTCCGGCCGTGCATATCCTCACAAGAGACCAAGCCCCGGCCTCCATCTCCCCTCTTCATGTAGAGCCTGTTGACTGAGGCTTTGGGGTGGTGAAATCCAGACGCAGTCAAGGCTGATCTTGTCACTCGATCTGTGGTCTTGATTTCAGCCTCGGTCCAATTTACGATTCCATAACTATATGTCATAACCGGCAGAGCATACGTATTGATGGCCTTGATCATGTTTCGCGCATTCAATCCACTGTTAAGAAGCAAATACAATCTCTTTTTGTATTCTGCAGTGAGTTGCGTCTTGAGCTTCGGGTGAGGTATCATGGCTGCTTGCACTACTCCAAGGTACTTGTATGTTTCATTGAGTCGTAGCGACTCTGCAATGGTCTCATCGCCAACCTGGATAGAGCATCCTTCATCTGGTTTTCCTCTCCTGACGTGCAGCACGGCACACTTGGCCGGGTTGAGATTCATGCCGATGTCATCACCAACGCCACACACGGTAGACATGAGGGTAGTCACATCCTTTGTAGTTTTCCCATAGAGTTTAATGTCGTCCATGTACCAAGAGTGATTGATAGACAACTCGGCGTCTCTGCAGCTGACTCTGTATCCCAAAGGCAATCGGTTGAGCTCAAAACTGATTGGGTTTAGCGCCAGGCAAAACAGTAACGGGGATAATGTGTCACCTTGAAATATGCCTCTTCTTATTGAAATGTTGCCGGTAGTGACCCTGCATCTTCCCTGGTCGCATATGTGCATTGTCGTTCTCCAGTTCCGCATGCTACGAGCAATAGTTGTGACCAAAGACGGGTGGAATCGATACATCGTCAAAGCATGTAGAATCCATTCATGCGACACACTATCAAATGCCTTTTTGAAGTCCAGGTATGCCATGACAAGATTTCGCCCTTTCGTATGGGCATCCTCCAGAATCATCTTATCCACCATCAGGTGCTCCTTGCAACCAAGACCAGCTGCTGCACAACCGCGCTGCTCCGTTGCAAGTATTTCATGTTGATTGATGTGCTGCCACATAATCTTCGATATGGCGGCGGTAAAGAGCTTGTACTGTATCGGAAGACACGTAATTGGTCTATAATCTTTGGGCATTGCCGAAGGTGGAGAAGTCTTAGGAAGGAGAGTAGTAGCGCCAGACGTCAACCATCCCGGAATGTCACTGTGGCCATCTATCACCCTCTGGAAGGCTCTCCGAAGGTAAGAGTGCAGGCTTGTCAGCCTCTTCCACCAGTACCCATGCAACTTGTCATGGCCCGGAGCCCTCCACAAGGCTAGTTTGCGCAG